TTAGGTATTTTTTGGCATTTTTTCTTTTTACGTTTTCTGTGATTAATAAATGTGCAGTTTCGTCTTCTTGATACAACTATTGTTAATTTCACCCAACATTTGCATGCATATAATACTTTCGGAAGAGTTGACTTTAATTGAATATCAAAGATGATATTCCATTTGACTCCGCCTTCTCCACCGGAGTTCGACTCCACTAAGTCGCGTTACCCCGCGTAGTAGGGATTGGCTATGGATCGGGCCTTGTCGATCCAAAGATGTCAAAAAAAAATATGACAAAACGGGAATTCCAAAGATTTTGTAAGAAATGACCCTTAAAAAATGGGCAACTGTGGAAATGACCAAAAGAAATACACTTAATTATTCATGTTTTGTATTCCTAGATCGTGGAGATCTATAACCTCATTCATTTTTTGTTCTCGTATGAGGGAGCTGTTAGGCGTTCTCGACAATATAATGACAGGAGAATTAGTCTAAGCAAGACTTGGTCAATTATGGTTGTGGAGGAGGCAAAATCGAGACTGCCTATGACTATGAGTTCATAGGAATGGTGGTCTTGGTATCGACAAGGATTATCCGTATATGGCTGTTAATGGAGCCCACGATGGTAGCTACAAGCCTACAATCATATATAGAGATTGTTCATCATGTCTAACAAAAAAAAAAATGCAATTCTTGCAAGAAGAATCAAATTTAAATTTTGTGTAGATAACAATAATGTTATGAGTGATGGATATGAGAACCAGCCTGTGACTGTTGTCATTGATTCAAGCGGTCGGTAATTTCACTATATGAGTTAGTTAGTTATATATATACATAAATAACATGCATCCAATAATTTTCGAATAAAAATGACTGTTTCCTATAGAAGTTCCACAGGTTATTTTTTTGTTTGTTTAAGAGTTTCACCGGTTATCGAGAATAACTAATCGACTAAAATTGAATCGCCGAATCACATTTGGTTTCTATATCTCACAGGCGTATTTGATGGGACAAACCTAAATTAGAAAGTTTAATTTTTATGGTTGGATATGGAACCAAGAAGACAAAATTGGTCGCAACTATTAACAAGATTGAGAGAAATTCTTGGGGCACACTTGAAGAGAAGCTGGATACATGAAGATGGTATGCACAGGGCCGGTCCAACGTTTTCGGATGCCCTACGCAAATTAAGAGAAGCATACCTTTTTTTTCCATTTTTATACAAATTTTTTTTTAACCTATGCTCACTTGTTAAATTTACTTTATCTTTTACATTTATTTAGTAAGGTTAATTGATCCTAAACTATTAAAACTCTTTTGTAAATTAACTCTTCATTTGCTGGAAAAAAATAAAATAAAAACTCTTTATTTTTAATAAAATTCACATATATATATTTATCAAAAAATTATCTTAGAAAAAGAGTAGATTATACACAAAATTATATTTTGTTAAGTTAAACCCCACAAATATGATTGAAAGAAGCCCACCAAAATATTGATCTTTTAAAAAAGAGGTTTATTATAATATAATTTATATATATAAAACTTTAAGAAAATTAGCCTATAAAATGCCCCCAAAATTTTGATGCCCTAATCCTTTGCTTCACATGCTTGGCCTATAAGCCGAGCCTGGGTATGCAATCTAAACTGATCGATCTGTCAGTTTTTCTGGACCTTTTACCGGTAATTAGAATATAATCATGGCGGGAACGGCTGAATAACCATCATATTGCCGCATATTTAAGAATGTTTTGAATATCTCGTCATAATGTGAGTGTGACTACTATGAAAGATTGAAAGTTAAAAACAACAAAAATGAAACAAAAAGACGAGAAAAAAAACTATTACGTCTTTGTCTTTTAAAGTCTCTATTGTCAATCTTACCACAGCGACCAAAAGTAAAAGAAAAGAATGTTAAACCTAATTATTCCAATTTCAATTTCTTAACCTTGTTACTATGAATTAAAAATTAAAATTCTTTTCCAACAGAACAAAGATGATTATATCCATAAAAAAAAAAAAAAAAAAAAAAAAAAAAAAAAAAAAAAGATGATTATATCCATATATATATATCTTTGAAACAACTGAAGCCACTCATATTTTGTTCTTGATATATATATATATATATTGTTTTTTTCCTGTAAAATCCAATTTAGATATTTATTGGATGTTTCGTTGTGTCATACTGTCACACTAATAATAGAGCAGACAACTAATAGTGTGAAAAAGTTTCAAACTGAAGAGTTCACTACATATCAACTTGAGTAAATTATTAGATTAAGAATCAAATAATTTAGATTGATTTTATAATGTAAATAAAGTATGGATAATGGTGGAGATTTAACGCAGTGAGGATTGATTGCCACATCGATTTAAGCAGAAGCAGTGGAGAAGATCAATGATAAACGTGTATTGGATCTGCCACTGCACTTTTAGCATGAATGGCTGAAAAAGAAAATCATTAGGTGATAGTAGTTGGTAATGGTATCGTTGTCCGGAGATTGTCGCACCAATTAAATAACATGCAATTATTGGAGATATATATATATATTATATTATATTAGATATGGACCTGTGCGTTGCACGAGTTACCGGTCGAAATTGTCATTTTTAATTTTTATTTTTGTAAGCTTAACTAAAATTATATAAAAATATTTTTTAATTTTAGAAAATATAGTATTTTAATTATTTTTTAAATATAAATTAATTATACATAATGTGCAATATAAAATATTATTTGTAGTTTTGTTTTTTATATGTTACAGTATGATATTTAATAAATGTATATGTGTATTATTGAATTTTAATAAATTATCTAAATCCATCGGAAGATTGTATAACACTTTCTAATTTCAATGTGGGCAAGATGAAAACAAAATTGTGGCAATATGAGACCGTCTATATCCACATCATGTAACTTTACTTGATAATATGAGAAATCCTCAAAATAAAAAGACAAATTCATAACGAATTAGGAAATATGCACTAAATAACATAAGACTAAAAAAGAATTAAGAAAATAATATTAACTAAACAATATCTATTTGCTATATGGTTTTTGTCAATTTTTGGCTCATATTACTGATGAGTTCTTCGTTGTCTCTTTTTTCTTTCCTCTCGCCGGCGAGAAGTCTCAAATCTCTCTTTCTATCTCATTAGATTTATCTTATTTTTGCTCGATCTCCTCTTTCTTTTTCTTTCTCTCCCCCTTATTAGATTTCTTCACCACCATATTTTTTTTTTTTCATATCATTATTTCTCCTTCGTCGGGCATCACCATCGAGTCTCACTACTCCGACCCATCAGGCCACCACCACAATTGAATCTCACAACTATCATAATCATCATCACCATCAATAATCTCGCTAATTCTGACCCACCACCTTCATCAATATTTACCGCCACCACCACCAAGCTTGAACCACCGCCATCAACACCAACACCACCGTTACCGCATCTTCAACTCTTTCCCCCAACTGCTCTTTATTTCTCCACCTTCTTTATCTCCTCCGACATTGGATCGACCTTCTTCGACAACAACTATATTTTATGTACATCGCCGTTCATAATTCTTAATTTTTCTTCATCGCCATATATTCTTAATTGTCTATCTATCTATTTGTTTATCTATAGAGGTGAGTATTTAGAATCCTTTTTCTTCTACGATTAATAATTGATTATAAAATTTCTTTAATTATTATATTATACAATAAGATTGTATAATTTCATAAATCTTTTTTAATTTTAAGAAAAAAGTAATCGTTTTCTTTTAGAATTAGTAAATAATTTTTTAATTTCTATTTTTATTTAATAAGATACATATAGTTTCCTTATAATTATCTTCTTTAGTTTTTTAAAATTGTTTTTATAAGATATATATGTATAGTTGCCTTATAATATTTTTTTTCTTAATTTTCTATTTTTATTTCATAAGATACATCTAGTTTCCTTATATTTATTTTCTTTAGATTTTAGAATTTTTTTATATAAGATATATACGTATAATTTCCTTATAAATTTTTTTTCTAAACAAATCTTTTTTTTTGGTTTTACACGTTGCTAAATTTGACATGTGCGTATAGTTTCCTCATATTTTTTTAAAAATAAATAAAAGGAAATTTTTTTTTAACACGTGTCAAAATCTGAGATCGATAAATTTGACACGTGGCACGATCCTATGAATTATTAACTTTGAAAACCATACTTTATATAATAAGATGGTATCGGCCTAGTCATATTTGATGTTTAAGTGTGAGTGATTTGAGTTAGATATGAAGTATTTTAAGAGGAAAATATTGAATAATTTAGGGTATTTTAAGGGTTGTATGAGTATCACAAGTTAATTATATTACGGCTCTGCGTAAATTTGAATCAAAAGATTAAGTTATCCAAAGAATCCTCGTAAAATATGATCCGTTCTAAATTTTTTTTTATATATATAGAAAAGTTTAAGGTTAAAATGTAAAATGGTAAACTGGCAATATTCCATCGAATTTAAAACATACTTTTAATGACCATTTGATGAATAATATAAACGAAAATTAATATATTAACTAAATAATATTTTCTTTATAAGATGTTATTAGGTAAAGACTCGTGGGCTTAAATTATATACTTAAAATTCATTTTTTTATTTTATTAAACTTAGGAGATTGCGTTATCTCGAATAATAAGGACTAGGCTTTGGGTCGGTTTTTTACGATTCAAAATAATGTGTAAAAAAAAATGGAACTAGTGAAAAAATGTTCAAATCTTGTGATTTTTTTTCATTAACTCATACTTTAAAACATCAGTAATTAACTACGTGGGCCTCATAACATAGACCAGAGCTGATAACATATCTCTCTATTCAATAGATGGGCCAGGCCCAAACAAACATGTACTCATCTGTATTTATTACAAAGGACACGTGGCTGATGTACATGTGACCGATCCGTTTGACCTATTCAAAATATTCAAACTAATGAAAAGAGTCGTTGTCTCTCTTCTCTCCTTTAGATTCAAAGGTTTCAACTTTCAACAATATCATTATTTTATTTTTGCAGAGACAAATCGATCTCATCTTCAAAGTCTTGAATTCGAAGTTTGATTTTCTGGGTTTCTTCTGTATTATCCGGATTCGAAAAATGGCTAAAGAAATTGAATCAGCGGCAGATCCAGGTGATACTAACATCAAAGGAGTTCTTGTTCATGGAGGAAGATATTTTCAGTACAATGTTTATGGAAACTTGTTCGAAGTTTCTAACAAGTATGTTCCTCCTATTCGACCTATTGGTAGAGGAGCTTACGGTTTTGTCTGGTACGATTTTGTGTTATTTCATATTTTTTTGTTTCTTTCTTACTAGTTGAAACCCTAATTAGATACAGAACTAGAGTTATTGGTATGTGTTGAAGAATCTTGAGTATTTTCCAATTGAGTTTATATGTTTTTTGAATTAGGGTTTATAGCAAAATTTGATTTTTTTCGATTTTGAATCGAGCAATCTTGATTTGGTAGAATGTGAAAGTTAATGATTCATTAGAGTATTGGTATTGTTTTAGTGCTGCAGTAGATTCGGAGACACACGAAGAGATTGCGATAAAGAAGATAGGTAAAGCATTTGACAATAAAGTAGATGCTAAGAGGACGTTGAGAGAGATTAAGCTACTTCGTCATTTGGAACACGAAAACGTAAGGTTTCTACTCTGTTTTCGCGGTAAACGATTAGAGTTTTAGCTAATGTGGTCTTGACTTCTACAGGTTGTTGTTATAAAAGATATCATAAGACCACCAAAGAAGGAAGATTTCGTTGATGTTTATATAGTTTTTGAGTTAATGGATACTGATCTTCATCAGATTATTCGATCAGACCAACCTTTGAATGATGATCATTGTCAGGTTAACATTTGTAACTTTTTGTGTAATTGATACTATGGTTGATTTGATCTTAAGTAATTTACTCTTTCTTCTTTTGCAGTACTTTTTGTATCAGATTCTACGAGGACTAAAATATATTCATTCAGCAAATGTCTTACATCGTGACCTTAAGCCGAGTAATTTGCTTCTGAATTCGAATTGCGATCTTAAGATTACCGACTTTGGTTTGGCAAGGACTACATCTGAAACAGAGTTCATGACAGAGTATGTTGTAACTCGATGGTACCGAGCACCAGAGCTGCTTCTTAATAGTTCTGAGTATACATCTGCAATTGATGTCTGGTCTGTTGGTTGTATATTTGCTGAGATTATGACACGGGAACCGCTTTTCCCGGGGAAAGACTATGTTCATCAGCTTAAACTTATCACCGAGGTATGTTCTGTTTCAGAAAGATTCTGTACAAATTGGTCGAAACTTTTTATCTGTGTTGAAATGTGTTTATGAGTTGTTTCATGTGGTTTATATAGTTGATAGGATCACCTGATGGAGCGAGCCTAGAGTTTCTCAGAAGCGAGAATGCGAGAAAATATGTTAAGGAGTTACCTAAGTTCCCGAGGCAGAACTTTTCAGCAAGATTTCCTAGTATGAATTCTACAGCTATTGATCTACTAGAGAAAATGCTCGTGTTTGATCCAGCAAAACGTATCACGGGTATGATTAGAAAACTGGTACATACCGAGATTGGCATATGCATGATAAATCCTTGATTATGTACTCTTTGTCTTGTAGTTGAGCAAGCAATGTGTCATCCGTACTTGTCAGCTCTTCACGACCTTAACGATGAGCCTGTTTGTTCCAACCATTTCAGTTTCGATTTTGAAGACCCGTCTTCCACTGAAGAAGAGATTAAAGAGCTTGTGTGGCTTGAATCTGTGAAGTTCAATCCTCATCCGACCATTTAAAACATTATTTAAGAAGGGGCATGCAAATATTATACTATGAGATTGAGCAAAATTTAGTAGTTATGTCCATTCTTATTACGAGGATGCCTTAGATAGTGTTAATGCTCGGTTTCTGCTACATCTCATGTTGTTCTGTTGTTTATGCTTTTTCATTGGTTAAAGAAAGCTATCTTGTGACTCAAGCATTTGTTCTATAAGGATCCTTATAACACAAGATATTATTAGACTTGAACTTCTTTACAACTTTACCTTTACAGTTTTTACACAAAATGATTTAAATATGTGAAAACGTTTCCAAAAGAAAAACAAAAAAGGGTTTCACATGCATATATTGCAGACATAAAGCTGGTTAACATGACCAAAGCATCTTATATATCTTTGATCTTGTAATCATTGTGTATCATGTCATTGGGATTGACCTTGTAGAAAATTAGAAAAACTCAGATGTGTTTTGGTGATGAACACTAGTTCGATCCTTGACTCTCGAGACTCGACAAAAAAGTCTATCAACTTCGTCTCTTGACTCTATTCTAGTAATATTTTCATCATCTAGAAAGACGTTGATCCCACTCCTTCGTAAAGCGGCTCTAAGAAGGCTGGAGAACTTGTTGCGGATCTCTCGACTCCGAAAACTTATGTACACTTGATGTTGCGGCACAATCTACAGATTTTAATTGAAATATGATTAGCCACTAGACTTAGAAATGCATATATAAACTCATTTAAGTAAATACACAAAGTGGTCTTTTTAGCTGTTGTAAATTTCTAGCTAGCTAGGCACCAAGCATCAATAGAATTAGTTGACTAAATGGTCTAATTTGGACCAAATGTCGGAAATTTTAGCTGCGTTTGGGAGAAAACAAGATTACGTACGTGTGATGAGGAAACATTGTCGAGCATTGCCTTAACCTTCTGGACGATTTCATTTACGAAGTTTGCTTGGTTGCTTCCAAAACAAAGTAAAAAATAATTAGTAGATATATGTGTATACCTTGTACAATTATACTCAGTATAATAGTGTCCAATGCCTTTAAGCTAAAACATATAGTGTTTAGTTAAATAAATCAAACCTTCCCTTCTTATATGTTAAGCCTAAGCGAGACGAGACCGAATTCAAAGCTTTTCTCCATCCCTCGAATCTCTTCTCTGCATCCTCCCAAGCCTTCTTACTAATCTTCCTAGCTTTCTTCCGCTCATCATGCTCCAACTGCAGTAGATTGTTGTTGAAAGTACTTCTTGCGACTTGAAGTTTAACGTGACAAGTCTCAACCTCAAAAAAGATAGGACAAGAATCAAGCATCTTAAGATCCATTTGTTTCTCGATCTCCACCAACTCGTCTAAGCACCAAGTTGATTCTGGATAGTTCTCGGAGAAGATCACAAGTGCGATCCTCGAGTCTCTTATAAGCTTCAAAAGATTCTCATCGATGGGTTTTCCCCTAGGTGCGTCCTCGTCCGTTACCACGTTGATACCGTTCTTTATCAATGCATCTTTGAGAAAGCTGAAGAAGTTATAGCGGACGTCGCTGCCTCGGAAACTTACGAACACTTGATGTTGCGGCGGAGCTGTGCCCTTCATCGCCAATATCTTTTCTTGATCCATTCTTTAGTCTTGTGTTTTTGGTAGCACAATAGAAATGGTCTTGGCCCTCACATTTATAATTACTTGCAATGTTGAATATTCAAATGTTACAATTTGTAATCAAATTTTAATATTGGATAGAATGAAAGTTGCATGAATAACTTTTATATTATATGTTTTTCCTCGTCTTCAAGACTTGAACGATATATCTGGAAAGTGGAATCAGTAAACCAATAAGGAAAGGTCGGTATTTTCTGAAATTTTAAATTTTACGTACAAATCTATATTATGATCTCCAGTTAGGTACGCGTAATTGGATTTTCTTACGTATAACATCACATTTTATTAACCTCAATAGTCAAATATTAATGATGTATCATGGAAAACTAAATTAATTACGCTAACAACAATTTTAAAATATTAGAATTGTGATATATAGGTACTTGACTTTGACTACGTCTTTCTATTAATCGACGGGATACATATAACTGTACAGTAAAATCATAAAATCAACCATACAAGAATTTCTTGGCAAGTCACTTATCAAAAGATTCTTGGTACATATAATTAACAAGAAAAAATATGTATACCTTGTTAAACGATAGGAAGTTTCCAGGAAATTCGATCAGATTTTACATAATTTTGCGAGACAAAAAAAAAAATTATTTGTTTTCTTTGGTATGCACTATGCATACTGAATTATAAAAGTGTCTAGTAGAAAAAAAAACAATTCTTTTTCCTTGTTTTCACAAATGTAGTTGTTTTTTTTCTCTACTAGACACTTTTATAAATCAGTATGCTATGCATACCAAAGAAAACAAACAATGTATGTCAGTATGTACCTTGTTTTCACAAATGTATGTACCTTTTTATTATTTTAAACGTAAACATATATATATATATATATATATATATATATATATGTGTGTTAAACTCGACTTTGATGATTTTATCAAAAAAAAAAAAAAAAAACTCGACTTTGATGATTTTTACATGAGTCGATATTAAATTATCTCGAACATTGTTAAGCACATCTTTTGTAATCTGGGCGGGAAAACCATTGAAAAGATAACACCCGACCGCACAAACGGTCCAATACCATCAAACATCAAAAACAAATTTTATAATTTTATGTTTGTCATGTAACCAATGTTGCAAGTTGGCATGTGTACCTAACTACTTAACCTGTCAGCGACTGAAGAAACCAACACAGCTTCCACTAGCAACACCATAATCCGTGTCTCAACCGCTCCTCTATATAAAGCACAAACATTGAAAGATATTTAGATCAAGGTAAATCTCCAAGCTTCTTAAGGTTACGTAAACTGGTTTTATTTTCTACATACACTATGAACGGAGAACTATTAATGAAAGGAGCTAGGTTCTGGTGGTTCCTTTAAGAGAAGAAGAGAAGGAGATCATTCTGGAGAAGTCAGGATGATTCCAAGACGTGGGCAGATCAAATCGCGGATCGCTGCAACCGCTTTGCACTCTATCATTTCGGTTTTGTCTAGGTCTAGATGATAATGCGTGATGATCATCACCAATTCTTCATCATCATTGTGTCTTATGTTTAGAGATTAAAAAGATCCTCTTGTGTGTTATCTTATTCTTTGCTTTACATAAATATATTTTCCCTTAATCTGAGCATTGAGGTCTAATGTCCGGATTCGAGTATTATATTATTGTTCATCCAGGTGCCTATACCGTCTTAGGATTAATAGATTCAACAGAGTTAGAAAATAATACAAAAACGTTGAAAAACATCACAAGATTCGTCAGAAGCACATGCTAATGTAATGCTTAATTTGTGTATCGACAAACACAAATGAATAAATTAGAGTATTTTGTATGATAAAGAAAAACACGTTGCTTCCCAGACTCCACACAAACCGGCACTATGTCTGGAACAATTACAATTATTTTTCATATATCATTACTTCACTAGAAAAAATGTTAATTGCATCAAAAAATTAAATAATATTAATTTAAATTATTTATCGATACAAAACTTATAATTTAGCATCAGTTGCAAATAAATTTTTGAATCGATGCAAAATATTTGCATCACCACTACTTTCATGTAAAATTAGTTTGCATCAACTATAACAGATGCAAATATACAAAATAAGCTATATAATTTTTTGAAGGGTTGGTAGAATAGTGTTTTTGTCCACTTGTTCAGTAACAATGCAGATTAGGGGGCCGATTGGTAACGACTGTTACTTCTGGCTGTAGAGACTTTGACTGTAAGAACTTTTGCTGTAAGAACTTTAACTGTATAAATTTTATAACCGATTGGTAAACACTGGGACTGTAGAAATTATAATTTTAAATAATTACCGAATATGTGGGAAAATGGATCTTAAATGAACAAGAAAAAAAATTCAATTGTAAATCAACTTAAATTTTTGAAAAATTAATTCATGTGTGAAAGTTATGAGAGTTTACATATATATGGAAATAAAAAAAGAGAAAAACTATAAACTTTTATTTGATTTATTTCTAAAGTCAGGTTTATGTGACTTTTAAAAAATGTTGAAAACAAAGAGTAAAAAATAAAAAAGGAATGTGAAAACTTTAAAAATTTTGAAAGTCAAAAAAGCTTGATTGGAAAAAAGACTGTAGAAACTTTTAAAATCTTTTAAAAGTTTTAAAAGCTTGTACCAATCACCCCCTAGATAATAATAAATGAAAGTAGAAAAAAATAATTGTAATATAGTTTTCACTAAATACTTACTTATAATTGAAAAAAAAAATTGTAATGACATTTTTGTCCTAGCACATAAGAAAAAAAAACAAAAATAAATAAATAAATAAATAAAAATTAAGAAAAGATGTTTTTGGATTGAATTTGGTATATCTTGTAAATGATCAAGATTCCTATTTTTATACATAAAACACCCACTTTTAAGAGCACCACAACTTTTGCTCTATACTTTGTCACTCAATATTCCTCAATTATGTTCTGAAATTATGTATATGATCCACTTTGCAAATGGATCAATCTTATCACTCCTATTTGAGCAATTTCAAATTCATTCCAAGTTTTCTTTTTTAGTCATTCTAACGCATCATCTCCAATGGATTGGTGAACAAATCTGCAAATTGTTCATTTTCTTTGCAATAACATTATGTGATTTCGTTTTTGGTGTTGTATTGTTTCATGTATATCAGTATATACTAAAAAACAATTATGTTACTTGTTATTTTTCGATGATTTTGTATGTTTGTGGAAACTCATTCCAAATCAAATGGACATAATTATATGTCTAAGAAGAAGAAAAAAAAAATTAGCTAGTGGACCACTTAGGTTTTTTTTTTTTTCGTCTGAATGATTCCATTATATTATATGAGGGTAGAATACGGTTTTGAAATACAAGATTCGACAAGAGTCGAAACTCTTTCGGAAACTAAGCCGGCGGAAGACATAAATATCCCCGGGAAACTAAGCCCAAAAGAGGGAAGCAAACTATAAACCAAAAGGTACAAGAAGGTAAACTCAAAAGGAACACAAGAACTAAATCTGAGACTCGAAACCATCATAATCCGCAAACAATCCCAGAGAAACGGTTGGCGTCGGAGTTGAAACCAAGAAACATGAGCCTCAAGAAGAACCAACCAAACAGGCAAACTCCAATAGATCGGAGATCTCGAAGAAGAACGAATCTGAAAGCTCAACCAGCAACAATCCGACAGAACAGAGAGCGAGATCAATCCGAAAAATGAGCACAGCAACAAACACCATCATGCCATCTCCACCATGGAAATGAGCTCGAGCGAAACCAAACACAAAGAACCTTTGAAAAACGGCTGGGGATAAGTCAAAGAGGAGCACCAACTCTTACACGCGGACAAAGCGAACCAATCAAAGCCACCTACAAACCTGAACCGGTCACGACCTCGCAAGAGAAGAACTAGTGAACGAAACCACTGCTGTGCTTAGAACCCAACAACGAAAACCGAAGACGGCTTCATAAAAGACCTAGTAGATGCACCTGCAACGATGTACCATCCGAGAGACAAACCCCAAACACGAACCTAGCCCACCAGAACCCACACACAAACGAGAGGAAGCAAACGGCGAAGAAGAACTAGGAACCCAAAGCAGAGAGTTAAAGCAAGCAAAGCACTAATCCGGAAAGCACAGCAAAGCCATACAATAAGCCGTAGAGTTAGAACCCAAAAAAGCAAAACTTAATCTCTGCCCAAGCCTAAAGCACCAACTAAACCTTCAACACAAACTACAAGATCTAAACCAAACACAACCAACGAAGAGCCAAAGAAAAAAGAAGCATGAGAGACAAGAGGAGAATTGGGTCACCGAAAAAACAGAGCCATTGTTCAGATCAGAAGAAGCCATAGATGCTCCAAACACAATGAAGCAAGTGGTCAGGGACAAGAAGAGGCACCACACATAGATGCGATAGTGAGAACGACGACTCCATCATCACCATCGATCAAAAGCCCTTTCGATTCCAGTCTCCTAGAACCAAACTCCATCAGATCTGAGATTCAACAATAACCCAAACCAACTCGCCAAAACTACCACGCTTCCAAGGCCGAAGAAATCAAAGACAATAAATGAAAGAGAGGGCCGACGCTGTGGGAGCCGTCACGCGCCGGTCAGATCGTGGCCAAGACGAGGAAGATGAAGAGCGGCGATTAGGTTAGAGAGAGAAGGAAGAGTCGGGGGACAGACATGGACGACTTAGTTTACAATTCCATTCAGTTGAGAACCACTTAGGTTATTCGACCAATTTTGTCACTAATTAACAATTGACAAAAATAAAAATAAAACAATAGGATATGAAATCGTTTTGGTAATGACGTAATCAGAGCAAAACTTGACACGTAGATCGCTCAGTGTGACCCACGACGGAAGTTTAGGAATAAAAAGCTAACTTTTTCTTTTTCTTCTTTTGTTCTCTTTCGTATTTCTAGAGTTTCTACGAGCTAAACAAATTAAAAAAAAAAAAAAAACTCATAAATTTTTCTTCATTTTCTCGTTGAGTTTTTAAATTTCTGGAAAAGAAAAAAAAAAGTCCAATTTTGTCGTTTTATTCCTTTTCCTGGTTTCAGACAAAACCAGTTTCTACAAACTCGGTTTTTCACAAATTTGGATTTTATTTTTTCCACTGTGAATGAAAGGAAACCAAAAAGACTCATCGGAGAAACCCATATGGGATCGGAGCTCTTCGGGTCTATCTATGACCCGACCCGGTCGATTAATAATCTGGCTCATGCTCTTCATCTCCGTCACTTACATCATCTACACTCTCAAGATCGTCTCCACTTCACACCCTTGCGAAGATCTAACCTCCGACTCAATTCTCCAACAAAGACCGGAGAAAAAAGCGGTTGCGGTTAAGGCGGTTCCGGCGGAGCAAGAAGCAACCGATCTAAACCATGTCGTTTTCGGGATTGCAGCGTCGTCAAAGCTATGGAAACAGAGGAAAGAGTATATAAAGATTTGGTACAAACCCAAGAAGATGAGAGGCTACGTGTGGTTAGATAAAGAGGTAAAGATAAAATCCGAAACCGGAGATCAAGAACACCTCCCGCCGGTAAGAATCTCCGGTGATACGTCGTCGTTTCCTTATACTAACAAGCAAGGACACCGATCAGCGATACGGATCTCAAGGATTGTTTCGGAAACGTTGATGAGTCTTGATTCTGAGTCGAAGAAGAACGTGAGGTGGTTCGTGATGGGTGATGATGATACGGTTTTTGTTACGGATAATTTAATTAGGGTTTTGAGGAAGTACGATCATGAACAGATGTATTATATAGGAAGCTTGTCGGAATCTCATTTGCAGAATATTTTTTTTTCTTATGGAATGGCTTATGGTGGTGGAGGTTTTGCTATTAGTTATCCTTTGGCAGTGGCTTTGAGTAAGATGCAAGATCGGTGTATTAAGAGGTATCCAGCTTTGTATGGTTCTGATGATCGGATGCAAGCTTGTATGGCTGAGCTTGGTGTTCCATTGACTAAAGAGATCGGTTTTCATCAAGTAAGTACATTTTTGTTTGTTTTTGCTTAGATTGGTTTGATTCCAAATGGTTGGCTTAGAATGATTTAAAAACCTAGTGAGATAGGCAAAATTGATGGTAAAGTTAGATGATTAGTGTGTAATTGTCATTCATGTTTTTTTTGTGTGTCATGTGTTTGTAGCTGAGAGTTTGGTTTTGATATATTAGTTCAAAGTCAAAGATTAGGGCCAATGGAATTGTTAATACTCGTTTTAATGTTTGTTAATGCGATCTAAAGCTTTAATAGTCTTGAGAGGTAAGAGTTTAACCGATTAAGGTAAAAGCTTTCTGCACAAATCTAGACTGTTTAATGATTTCACATTCGTTTCAGTTTTAGTAAGTTTTGGTGGTTGTGTCATGTGTGAATCTTATTGCATTCAAGTCATTAACTTAATTGACATTAATTAGTTAATTTAAGGAGATCCGAGTTAGTGTCGCACTACTAATTTGCTACTTTAAATTTTTAAAACAGCCGACCAAAAGTAAAACCAATGGAATTAACAACAAGCTTCGTTTGAAAGAAAACGTGAATTTTTTGTTAACTTTGGCTAATTTTTCATTAGTTTATTGTTTTTGTCAATAGTTAAGATTCCTAGATGTTACTGTTGAAATAAGAACAGTGTGTCAGTTTCAACCTTTAAAAGTCTTTAAAGACTTGTAGCTCTCTTTTTCCTATACGCGCAATATAGCGCGTGAAGGCTACACTCCTTTCTTCAAATTTGTTAATTCGATTGTGTTTGTTTTGTGTAGTATGACGTTCATGGGAACGTATTCGGCCTCCTAGCTGCCCATCCGGTAACACCGTTTGTATCAATGCACCATCTTGATGTGGTAGAACCGATTTTTCCAAACATGACCCGTGTTCGCGCCATCAAGAAACTAACTACACCAATGAAGATTGATTCGGCTGGGCTTCTCCAACAATCAATATGCTATGACAAGCATAAAAGCTGGACAATTTCGGTCTCGTGGGGATTTGCGGTCCAGGTGTTCCGCGGATCCTTCTCTCCACGGGAAATGGAAATGCCTTCTAGAACTTTCTTGAATTGGTACAAAAGAGCGGATTACACCGCCTACGCATTCAATACTAGGCCCGTGAGTCGCAATCATTGCCAAAAACCGTTTGTTTTTCACATGTCAAATGCGAAATTCGATCCGCAGTTGAACACCACGGTCAGCCAATACACGAGGGATCGGGTTCCGCATCCGGCTTGTCGGTGGGATATGGCTAACCCGGAGGAGATCAACACTATAGTTGTGTACAAAAAACCAGATCCTCATCTATGGACCAGGGTAAGTGAAAATATTTTTTGTTTTTACCAGATTAAGTTTTATTTCATTCAAATTAATATGTTAATGCTTAGTAATTATTGTATTTTCTTGGCAGTCACCGAGAAGAAATTGTTGCAGAGTATTACAAACAAAGAGGAATAATACATTATGGATTAATGTTGGTGTATGTAGAGCAGGTGAAGTGACTGACGTTAAGTAATTTCTACCTTTGTAATAAAAAAAATTTGAAAGAGAAAAAATTAGAGGTTTTTTTGTTAGGCTTTTTAAGTTTTAACCCTATAGTTTTCTTTCTCCTGCTGATTATTTGATTTTTACCTCATTTTGTTTAGTAGTGAGCAGTGAGTGAGAAAGAAAATATATAGGAAATTACGTTTATACGTACTGTAGATTTTTTGTCATCAAATAGGTTCATCTTTATAAGAAACTTTTATCATTTAATCCAATTCGATTCCGGTTAATCCGTTAATGATAACGTGGATGAATCATAGAGTAACTTGTATAATATGATTACATCATTACTTATAATGTCTATTAGTCTATAGTATAGACTCTATACTACATTACTACTACAAAATTATATATTTGCAAGCTAAGATATACAAAACTGGTAATATCAGTGTATTATCTGCTGAAATTTTGGATTTTTTTTTTTGAAATTTTGAAAAATTCTTCATATCTTAATGTAGGACCAACCTTTAAAGATATATTGCTCAGAAAACAAAGTGAAACGCTCTGACAATTTTGAATTTGGATAATTCATTGTGTCCCTTTGTGCAAAACGAATATGGAAACTACATGATGACTTCATCACTGTTGTGTCTGAAATCTGAATAAAAATATTTAAAAAGGAAAAAAAAAAAAAGTATGAGTGCGTCTACATTATGGGCTTCGTAGGAAAAGGCCCAATATCAAAGAATTGTACCTTAGTGGGAATAAATAAATCGATAAACAAAAATATGGAGATGCGGGGTATCGATCCCCGTGCCTCTCGCATGCTAAGCGAGCGCTCTACCATCTGAGCTACATCCCCATTTGCTCTCCTATAGTAGAATTAAAGTATATATACAAAACTAAGTGAAAGGGAATCATTTGAATTCAAGATCATGTTCGCATATTAACTACGTACTCTTGAATCCTTTTTAATGTCAAGATGCCAATAAATCCATCATTCTGATATTAAAATTCTTACATGTAACAGTATTAAAAAATTTCCTCATTTTTTGCGACTGTCTATTAAAGAAGAACCTTATCATCACCACATACATAGAAAACTATATATATTTTGTCACCAAGCAAAGTATTTTATATTATATACTCTCAATCAGACCCACCATTGTTGGATCAAATTGACTATACTTATCTTCAGCCGGCGGATTCAATTATTATTACTTCAAACACAATTATAAATCTCACTCTTTATACTTTTCAAAATTATAGGACTCTGTAAAATTCTATATCTCTCTTCTCTATCTTTCTCTCACACTCATCATGGGTCTTCCAACAGATTTCAAGGAGCTTCAGATTCCAGAATACGTACTTAAAACACTTTACGTCATCGGTTTCATCAGAGACATGGTCGATGCTCTTTGTCCTTACATCGGCCTACCTAGTTTTCTTGACCACCACGAGACCTATCGACCCGACCCGACCGGACAAGGTCTCTCCACGTCAGCCAGTCTTGCCAACGAGTTAATCCCAGTGGTTCGGTTCTCGGATCTCTTGACCGATCCGGAAGATTGTTGCACGGTTTGTTTATCCGATTTTGACTCCGACGATATGATTAGACAGCTACCAAACTGTGGACACGTGTTCCACCATCGTTGCTTAGATCGTTGGATCGTTGACTGCAACAAGATGACTTGTCCGATTTGTCGGAACCGGTTCTTACCGGAAGAAAAGCCCACGCCGTTTGATTGGGGTTCTTCAGATTGGTTCAGAGATGAAGTGGAGAGTACCAACTAATGATGGTTTTACTTTTTTTCACGGCAACTTTTTTTCTACTGTATAATTCAAGTATAACATTATGTAATTATATGTATATTAGCATCAATCATATTTTTTTATTTTAATAATAGCATCAATCCATCTTTTTGTTAAAGAATAATCTGTATATATTAAATATCATCCCACCAATATATGGAGTTCTGATTCAAATTCTAATATGCTTTTCTTTTATATAAAATCAAAACACATCAAATTTATGGTATATCGATTTAAGTTAGTAATCCAGAGTCCTATTATTTTGAAAAAAATCAGTTTCGTTTCTGTCTAATTTGTATCCTGTTTTATTCAAATAAATTTAAAGTATTTGTATCTCGTACCAACGAAAATGAAAACAATTAAATCAAATGAAGAAAAACGGCTAAATTCAACCCTAACTATTTTTATGCGGATTTTTTCAACCTAAACTCTAATCCCTTTCATTTATCAACCCGATCCCACAATATTTTTAAATAACAGACGTAAATTATGTAATCGTTAGCCAATTTCAACATAATTTTTTTTGTATTTGTTAATGTCGATTAGAATTTTTAAGTCGCAATTATTTGTTCTTTCGTATCCGAATCATTCTTTTTATTCAATTGACTAACGGTTACATAATTCAGGCTTGTTACATTATTTAATAACGGGTATATGTTGAAATTGGCTAACAAATAATTACGACTTAAAAATTCTAATCGGCATTGACAAATACAAAAAAAATTATGTTGAAATTGGCTAACATTTACATAGTTCATGTTTTTTATTTGAAAATATTGTGGATTCAGGTTAATAAAAGCAGGGATCAGAGTTTGGGTTGAAAAAGACCTCATAGAAATAATTGAGGTTGATTTTGGTCGTTTTCCAGATGACATTAGTGTAATATTGAAAGAGTTGAAAATGCTTAAGAATAGACAAAAATACCCTCGTCATCTATATCACATTCAACTTTATTTTTCTCTCTCCCACCGTATATTTTTTCTTTTACAAAAATCCGAAATTATTAAAATTGGGTGAATCTTAAAAAACAATTTTTTTTTTTTTTTTTTTTTTTTTTTTTTTTAAAAACAATTATTTGATTTCTTTAAATTAGTTTGATTTTTTTCCGGTAAGAATGCATTCACTAATCTCTATAATCCTGAAACTCAATCTCATAGAGTTTAAAATTTCATCGTTGTCAACACGGAGAGGCAGTCCGATGGAACATCATCGTCGCAATTGCCAACATATATACATTCTTTCCCATCATCTCCACCGCTGCGAGCATATTCTCTATTTTCATCACCTCATCTCTTTCGTCGCCAACACACAATCTACCACAACTACCTCCATCAAAACCATCGTAATCTTCAATTACCAACCACTTTCGGTCCAAACTGCCACAATTCATCACCACCACCACAGATTTATCATTGTCCAATGACCACCAGCTGACATTTAATACGAATTTGAGAAACAAAAAGCAACCTCTTTAGTTTTAGAGACCAAAATCAATTATGAAGAACATAAAACCTTCTATTTTGGTGTATGGGTATTGGAGAGTATACAACGGTTTACTTGGTTATGTACATATATTTAGATCAGTAGACCGGTTTACATTAAACCAAGTGTATATATATACTGTGTACAGATTACTTGATGAATAAGATGAGAAATTCTCTAACAAACTTTTCTCTCTCGATCGTCTTCTTCTCTCTCACTAATATGGTATCAGAGCCATCAAAGCTCTTTTTCTCTTGATTCCGCTTCGATTTCACTGTTTTTGAGCTCAGATCTTGCTTAGTTCTACTCGATTTTAGCTCAAATGGTGACTGCGATGAAGATTCCTCGCCGATCAAATCGGAATAAAGCTTCGACATCGTCAGTTGCAGTTCGACCTCGTAAAACATCTCGATCTACCGTCGTCACTGATTCTCCTCCCGATTCTCCTCCGGTTGCACTTGATTTAGCTTCTGGAGCTTCGCGAGCCACTTTGATGCCGACGATCACAGATCCATCCTCTTCTCCGTTCTATATGCATAGCGCGGATCATCCAGGTTTGATCATCATCTCTCTTCGTCTAGATGGAACGAATTATGATGACTGGAATATTGCTATGGAAGTTGCTCTAGATGCTAAGAATAAGTTGGGATTCATAGATGGAACATTGCTGCGTCCTGCTGAAACTGATCCTAATTTTCGCATCTGGTCACGATGCAATAGCATGGTGAAATCCTGGTTACTGAACTCTGTATCACCTCAGATCTATCGCAGTATTTTGCGTTTGAAAGATGTTGTCGATATTTGGCGTGATTTGTACAGCAGGTTTCACATGACTAATCTCCCAAGAACATTTAATCTGACACAAGAGATACAAGATCTCCGTCAAGGTTCAATGTCTCTTTCTGATTACTACACCACTCTCAAGACTCTATGGGATAATTTGGAGAGTGCTGATGAACCTGGTAATCCGTGTGTTTGTGGACAGGCTACTCGTCTGCAATTGAAGGCAGAGAGAGCCAAAATTGTCAAATTTCTCGCAGGCCTTAATGATTCATATGCAATCATTAGGAGACAGATTATTATGAAGAAAGTGCTTCCAACTCTTGCTGAAGTTTATCACATTCTGGATCAAGATGACAGTCAGAGAGGTTTCTCCAATATCATTGCTCCTCCTGCTGCCTTTCAAGTTTCTCAGAATGTTGAACATGACTCTACTATTTGTTATGTTCAATCTGGTCCTAACAAAGGTAGGCCTATCTGTTCTTTCTGCAACAGAGTTGGACATATTGCTGAACGTTGTTACAAGAAAAATGGTTTTCCACCTGGTTTTACTTCAAAATTCAAGCCATCAGATAACAAGTCTCAACCTGATAACAAGTCTCAACCTGATAACAAGTTCCAGAAACCAAAAGTGGTTGCAGCTCAGGTTTCTTTGTCATCTGATAGCAAGCCAACTGATCTAGAGAGTTTGATTGGTGACATGACACCAGATCAGATTCAGAATTTTATTGCTCTCTTCAGTACTCAGCTTCAATCTCAGTCTTTCTCTCCATCAGAAGTCAGTCACTCTCATGATCAGAATGTTTCCCAATGTCAAGCTAGTACCTCTGGTATCTCATTCTCTCCATCTACTTACTCTTTTATTGGTATTCTCACAGTTTCACAACAAAGTTTATCTACTCAATCTTGGGTTATAGATTCAGGTGCAACACATCATGTTGCTTATGATAAGGATTTATTTCTATCCCTTGATACTTCTGTTGTGAGTGCTGTTAATCTTCCGCAAGGATCTTGTGTAAGAATCAGTGGAGTAGGAACTATCCGGATTAACAGTGATATTCTTCTCAACAATGTCTTGTTCATTCTGGAGTTTCGTTTAAATCTGATCAGTATCAGTTCTTTGACTACTGACCTGCAAACAAGAGTGATATTTGATCGTTCTTCTTGTGAAATTCAGGTTCTTACCAAGGGGTCAACAATTGGAAAGGGTAAAAGAGTAGGAAATCTCTATGTGCTAGAAGCTTCAAGTTCATCAGTCTCAGTTAATGCCGTGGTTGATCTTGGTATGTGGCACAAGAGACTCGGGCATCCTTCTTTTTCAAGACTTGATGTAATTTCAGAAGCTTTGGGAACACATAGATCTAAGAATAAAGGAACTACTTATTGTCATATTTGTCATTTGGCAAAACAGAAGAAGCTGTCTTACTCCTCTTCAAACAATATTTGTAATTCAAGCTTTGAGCTGTTGCACATTGACATTTGGGGTCCATTTTCAGTGGAGACTATTGAAGGTTTTCGATATTTTTTAACTATCGTTGATGATCACTCCAGGGCTACTTGGCTTTATTTGCTCAGAACAAAGAATGAGGTTTTACAAGTCTTCCCTGCTTTCATTCAACAAGTTGAAAATCAGTATAATGTTAAAGTAAAGTCAGTAAGGTCTGACAATGCTCCTGAGTTGCGTTTCACAGATTTTTACAAAGAAAAAGGCATAGTTTCTTTTCACTCATGTCCTGAGACACCGGAACAGAACTCGGTTGTGGAGAGGAAACATCAACATATCCTCAACGTTGCTCGGGCTTTAATGTTTCAATCTCAGGTACCTTTATCTTCATGGGGAGACTGTGTACTAACTGCAGTTTTTCTCATAAACAGGATTCCTTCACCAGTTCTCTCTGATAAGACACCATTTGAGATACTCACTGGTACAGCTCCTGCTTATGATCAGATTCGCACATTCGGCTGTTTATGCTATGCTTCAACCTCACCGAAGCAACGTCATAAATTTCAACCTCGTTCTCGTGCTTGTATCTTCTTGGGCTATCCCTCAGGCTACAAAGGATACAAACTCATGGATATTCAGAGTAATGTGGTTTTCATTTCAAGAAATGTGGTATTTCATGAGAACATCTTTCCTTTGGCTAAAACTCCACACTCAGAGGCTGCTTTGGAGCTATTCACACCACTGGATTCTTTGTCATCAGGTACCATCACTTCTTCTCTTCCACCACAAATTTCTCCACCACAAATTTCTCCATCTCAAACACAAATTTCAAATAAAAGGTTAAGAAAACAACCTGCACATTTACAAAATTATCACTGCTATTCCCTGCAGTCTGATATCTCTCATCCCATTTCATCATCTTTATCTTACTCAAAGATTTCTCCTGACCATCTTTCTTACATAAATAATATCACTAAAATTCCAATCCCTCAATCTTTCACTGAGGCAAAGAATTCCAAAGAATGGTGTGATGCTATTGACAAGGAAATTGGTGCTATGGAATCTACAAATACATGGGAAGTTACTACCTTACCACCAGGGAAGAAAGCAGTGGGTTGTAAATGGGTTTTCACTTTGAAGTTTCTGGCTGATGGATCTCTTGAAAGGTATAAGGCTCGATTGGTAGCGAAAGGGTATACTCAAAAGGAGGGGTTAGATTATAATGAAACTTTCTCTCCAGTTGCCAAGTTAGCTACAGTCAAGCTTTTATTGAAAGTCTCTGCTTCTAAGAAATGGTTTTTGACTCAATTGGATATTTCCAATGCTTTTCTTAATGGTGATTTAGAAGAGGAGATCTATATGTCATTACCAGAAGGTTATGCTGCAAGTAAGGGGGACTCTTTGCCACAAAGAGCAGTTTGTAGATTGAAGAAATCGATTTATGGACTTAAACAAGCCTCACGCCAATGGTTCAAGAAATTTTCAGAATCACTGTTGCAGTTGGGTTTTGTTAAAGCACATGGAGATCACACTCTTTTTGTCAGAAGTTGTGATGATGATTATATTGCTGTATTGGTTTATGTCGACGACATAGTGATTGCTAGTACTACTGATCATGCTGCTACTCAGTTAACAGAGGCTTTGAAGAAATGTTTTAAACTGAGAGAACTTGGTCCTTTAAAGTACTTTCTGGGCTTAGAGGTAGCTCGGAATGATGCTGGTATTTCATTATGTCAACGGAAGTACGCTCTGGAGCTTCTTGCTTCCACAGGAATGTTAGGATGTAAACCCTCTTCCATTCCTATGACACCAAACACAAAACTGTCTAAGACTGATGGAGATCTCCTTGAAGATAGAGAGATGTATCGCAGTTTGGTTGGCCGGTTGATGTATTTGACAATTACACGCCCGGATATTACATTTGCTGTGAATAAACTTTGCCAATACTCATCAGCTCCACGTACTGCTCACCTTAGTGCCGTGTATAAGGTCCTGCAGTACATAAAAGGTTCAGTGGGACAAGGTTTGTTTTACTCCTCTGATCCTGATTTACGTTTAAAAGGCTTCGCTGATGCGGATTGGGGTTCTTGCTTGGATAGTCGAAGATCCACTACTGGATTCAGTATGTTTTTAGGCTCCTCTCTTATTTCTTGGAGGTCTAAGAAGCAACCTACTGTCTCTAGATCTTCTTGTGAAGCAGAATACAGGGCTCTAGCTCTTGCTACATGTGAAATGATGTGGTTGAGCATTCTGCTATCTGACTTGAAGGTTTCCACTTCTTCAGTCCCTGTTCTTTTCTCGGATAGTACTGCTGCAATATACATTGCTACAAACCCGGTATTCCACGAGAGAACAAAACACATTGAGATTGATTGTCATACCGTCCGAGAGAAGTTAGATGAAGGTCTTTTGAAAACTCTACATGTAAGGACTGAAGACCAGGTTGCTGACATCCTTACCAAACCTCTCTTCCCTCATCAATTTGAGCATTTGAAATCCAAGATGAGTCTTATCAACATATATGCCTCATCTTGAGAGGGACTATTGGAGAGTATACAACGGTTTACTTGGTTATGTACATATATTTAGATCAGTAGACCGGTTTACATTAAACCAAGTGTATATATATACTGTGTACAGATTACTTGATGAATAAGATGAGAAATTCTCTAACAAACTTTTCTCTCTCGATCGTCTTCTTCTCTCTCACTAATAATGGGCATTTAGTCAGCTTTTTAATTCTCTTTCTTTCTCTGGTCATGAAAAACAATTGGTATGCACCTAATTAACTCATAAATCTATCCTATAATCATAAATTGGTATTTGATGTAGTTTCGAAGACATTTGATTTAAAACTCTATTATAAATCTTTATATCTTTCATAATTATATTTAATCAGTTGTGTCTTTTTTTTTTTTTTTTTCTCAACATCAATTGAACCTTTTTATCATATTTAAATTCTTTCTAATGTTTATAATTACAAAAATGTATAACTACTATAAATTTGTCATATAAGTATAACTACTATAATATGCATATAGAAAATATGGATCAAAGCGGAAATTCAACCTTTTTCCGGTTGTTATTTGTGTTTTGCTCTATTGCAAACATATACAAATATTTAGTGTTTGCTATGTTTTGCTATATCAATTTTAAACATATATTCATATCTTTTTTCAATAGAATCAAATATGAATACCTAAACAATCGAGTTTAACAAATAATATGTAAATTTCCTACTCCTACAATGTGTCATTTCCTACTCCTACTATGTATATCATTTCTATTGATTCAAATCTTCAAGATCATGTTCATATAATACCGATCTACTCTTGAATCTTTGACTTTTAATGTCAAGATCCCAATAAATCAATCATTATGATATTAAAAATTCTACATTATTATATGAAATAACCTTTTTTTTTTGTCGAATAAAATTATCAAATTTGAAATTATCAATATACTATAGAATATTAGCCTAACAAATTTTATATTTGAAAATAAAAATAAATACACATTTCTATATCGTTTTAAATATAAAACCATAACTCTTTTTTTAATTAATTAACGTTACTTCAAAAATATATTATCTTGTGTAATACCATAGGCTAATACCTTTTTTTTTTTTTTTTTGGACAAAACCATAGGCTAATACCTAAATGTTAAAATTCTACATAATATTAAAGAACTTTATTTTTTTTGTCTTTTTTGTCGGGGAAGATTAAAGTATTAAAGAAGACCCTTATTATCACCACTTTTTTTAAAAGTATATAAATATAACACCAAGCAAAGTATTTTATATTATACACTCAATAAGACCCACCATTGTTGATCAATTTGGCTTATTCTTATCTTCAGCAGCCAGATTGAATTATTTTTATACTTCAAGCACAAACTAAATCTCACCATATATTATACACACTTATACTTGTCTCTACAGTTCCACATCTCAATCTTCATCTCTCTTCTCTATCTTTATCTCACTCATGGGTCTTCAAGAAGATTTCATCAAGGAGCTTCAGATTCCAGGGTACGTAGTTAAGATACTTTACGTCATCGGTTTCTTTAGAGACATCGTCGACACTCTTTGTCCTTACATTGGTCTACCTAGTTTTCTTGACCACCACGAGACCTCTCGACCTGACCCGGCTCGACACGGTCTCTCCACGTCAGCGAGTCTTGCCAACGAGTTAATCCCGGTGGTTCGGTTCTCGGATCTTCTGACCGATCCGGAAGATTGCTGCACGATTTGTTTATCCGATTTTGACTCCAACGATAAGATTAGGCAGCTACCCAAGTGTGGACACGTGTTTCACCAACGTTGTTTAGACCGTTGGATCGTTGACTTCAACAAGATGAAGTGTCCGATTTGTCGGAACCGGTTCTTACCGGAAGAAAAGCACACGCAGTGTGATTGGGGTTCTGGTTCAGATTGGTTTAGTGGTGAAGTGGGAAGTTCCAACTAATTGGTGGTTTTACTTTTTTTGTCGGCAGGATGTTTGTTGTATAATTTCCAGTATAACTCTTTATGTATATTATTAGTATATACTAATCTTCTTTTTGTTAAAGAAGACTGTATATATTATCATCTGATCAATATACCGAGTTCTAATTTAAATTTTAATACATTTTTCTTATTAGAATTTTTTTTGAAAATGAAAAACACATCAATTACGGTTTATTGATTATGTTAGGAATCCGGACTCCTATTTTTTCTTAGATTTGAAAAAAAAAAAATCAGTATCTATGATCAGTTTCGTCTCTATCACATAATTTTTAGTTTCTTTTATACTAAAATATCATATATCTTTTTAAAAATGCTTATTTTTTATTAAAAAAATGTTTTTCAGATTTTTTTAAATCTACTATATAAGCTAAAAATGAATAAATATCTAATACTAACTAGGTCTTTAGAAAAAAGCGATGTTTGTTATGTAAAGAAAACTAGATCATCACCCGTACTAAAGTACGGGTTAAATTTTATTTATTACAAAATTTATATAATATATATATTAGAACTAAGTTTTAATATATTATAATACAAAGTAAAAAAATATTAATTTTTTTGTCAGTCCCTATATACAATATTAGAATAAATATAGATTTTTTTTCTATAATACTCAATTATGGATAATTTATTTTTTAAGATATGAAAATAGAAAATAATTTTATTTTTTAAAAAGTAATATTTTTGAACAATGAGTTAATTTATGTTAACAACCACAAAATAGGTTTAAATATATTTTAGTTAGAATTAAAATATCATAAATGAATCGTATATAAAACATAGATTACTAGTACCAGCCCGTGCTTTGCACGGGAAAACAACAATACCAATAGTAAATTTTGTTTTTTGAAATGTGCAACCATTATACCAATGAAGAATGTCACAAAATACAATTTATTTTGTTTTATTTTACCTTAATACATTGATTAAATGTATTACACATTACTCTGTAACTCTCAATAGAAAGTCTCCTCAACTTCACCAAAATCGTGATATATAGGTGTAAAAATTAAGGAAATTTTTATTGTATTTTGAAACAGCCAAAGATCTTACACAAATACAGTAACTTCTCATACGCATAGACAAAAAAGAGAAAGAATAGATGAGGAAGAAAAGCTATACGGAACATTTGTTTCTCCAAGCTTAACAATAGTAATGATGGAAAAATGAATTACTTTCGTATCAAAACGCTTTTGAAACTTGAACATATAAGATGGTTTCACATTTAAATTCTTTTGCACACTACACCGTGGAAGAAGATGCCATGTCATGCCACCCATCTCTCAAATTGTTTTTTTTTGTTCGTCTTCTTCTTTTGAATTGAAAGCCTCAAAACATTTGCTGTTTTGTTGCTTCTCTATACAAAATTGTAGGCAGAATTCCATGTTCATACAATTGATTCATCCTATATTAAGCTGCATCCATTTTGTTTCTCAAACTCTTGTGGTCATTTTGTCGAGCAGTTGGTGTGCATAGAAAGTGTAAGAAGATAAACCAAGTAAAACGCAACAAATCTGGAAAGCAAAGCCAAAGATTTAATGATATTCATACCAGCGATTAGGTGGACCGAACATAGTGTATCGTAGGAAGTTAACATCGTCCATCACATTAGGCATCGCAAAAGTCTCAACTTTCATTGTTTACGTCATTCTTTCATTTATCTGTTAGACGTATTTAGAATAAAAAATGGGGGATCTAAGGTTATGAGAAATGAGAGAAGAAGAAGAAGTTATTGCATCAGTTTTTACTTTCGTGAGAATGGTTTTTAGGGTTGCCATTGAGATAGTAAATTAAGTGGGGAGAGGAAAAAAAGGAATCTTAAGATAGTGGAAATGAGCAGTTGATGAAAAAATGGTAAGATATTTATTTTTGGTCAAAAAAATTCGGTCGTAAATTTTTCTTTTTTTTCTATTTAAAAGCAAAGTATAATTGTTGAAAAAAATGAAAGATGGAATTTTGGGACTTAAGACAGATGTCAAATGGAGAGTGTGGCAGTTAATAGTGAAATGACTTGTGAATTATTAGATAAGGAATTTGAATTAATTAAGAAATTAGCTATTATTTTGAACTAATTTAGAAAATTCTTTTTCAATTTATAATTCTTTGGTTGTTGAAATAGAGATTTGTTTGAGCTAATCTAATTACAGAATTTGTTTGACATTTATAATTACGGAATTTACCAATTATTTGCATAATCGAATATGTTATAAATATATATTTAGTATATAATAATACCAAAATCAACCTGTGCGTGGAGTCTATATTTTATTTTAGAATCTCAATATTTCATTTTAAAATATTGCGTGCACAATCAATTATTCGTTAATTCTAAAATTGCTCGAGGAATCAAATTTTCAAATATTTAGAAGTGTCAAACCATATTTAAATGTTCTACACTATTTTTAAATATTCCAAATTAAAATCTTTTTTTTTTTGTAGTTTATAAATTTTGAATTTCAAAAAACAAATTATATGAAATTAAATATAACTATTCAAATAGTTATAAGGATCAAAACTCATTTCATCATATAATATATTATATTTAACCCGCTACCTATTATAAATATTTTAAAAAATAATCAAATTAGAGTATTTATAATTTTTAACTTTTTGAACTATTAAGTATTGATGATATTCTCTAAAAATATCAAGTAAAACTTATTTTAAATGTTGCAAATTAAAATATTTAATTTTTTATTGAAGTATATAAAATTATACATTTCAAAAAATAAATGTATGAAATCCAATATAAATATTCAAATTCTGACCCGTTGCTCAGTCGAAATTTTTGTTGAATTTATTTTTGTGTAAAAGAAATATATTACTCAAGTCTGAATTTTTGACCCGTTTAATTGTTTTCTTTATAGATGGAACAATTTATATGCGTTTTTAAAAATTCAAATCTTGGCATATGCAGAAAAAAAATTACTTTTTTTTTATTATATAGGTGATATGATGATTTATTTGTTTCATATAAATATAATCATATAAAGATGAGAGGTGAAGTTTAATGATTAATAACAAATTAATATGGTAAGTTAGATATCAAATCTTATATATTCATTTTGATTGGTCATTTAAAAAAAATTAATAACAGATTTTCGTTTTATAATTTAATTAAATTAATTAAATGACATAAATTAGTATTTTACTTGTTTATCCTTAAGAAATTGAATAAATTTGTTCTAAAAGAAGAAATTTGTAATGGCATTCTCATGTAATTTTTTACAAAAGAGAAGGTTAGTTAAGAGTTTCTTATAAAGTGTACTCCCCAAATAATAGTATAGGATACTAACAATTTCGAAGACATTTCATTTAAAACTCCATTATAAATGTTTATATCTTTCATAATCATATTTATCAGTTGAATATTTTTATCATATATTTAAATTATTTTTATGTACTTCATAGTTACACAAAATGCATATAATTAAATACTATGAATTTGTCAAAAAAATATAAGTTCATAAAAATGTGATTATATGTTCATGGAAAATAAGGATAAAAGCGGAATATTCGACTTTTACTATTGTTATTTGTGTTTTGCTCTAATAAAAACATATATCATATGTTAATATTTGATTTGTTTTGAGTTATTATGCGTACTCAACTACTCACATTTTTTTTTTTCAACAAAAAAAAAAAACTACTCACATTTTTTTTTGAATAGACTCAAACAGATACAGAAACGAATAATGTGCCATGTCCAACTCCTACTATGTATATCATTTGAAAATGATAGGTAACTAATAAACTAAATTCCAAAGAATCTTAATTTCTTTTTTAATTGAATATACCAAAGGTTAGGTGAAAAGTTTGTCACCAAATCGTGGATCCACGAATACATCAAATATCGTCTACATTCATTTGAAGTAGTGGCTGACGCCACGCCACCATTGAAAGTTGAACAGTCAAGTCAAGTGTACCCTTTTGATTTTTTTTTTCTTTCCTAATTAGTCTTACCAATGAGTAACGACAATGAAGTTTTCAATACTACGATGATTCAGGGAAGGTTCATGTCATAATAATTTGCACGACTTGTCAAAACCTCTCTCATTCGATAATATTAATTGAAATATGTCTAATTCATGTTTCTGCCACCAAGGCAAGCCTATCCATTTGTTTTTACAAACAAAGTTGGAAGAAATTCAATGTAATACCAATAAACCTAATCAACTGTCAATAAAACCAATGTGTTTCGATCTTTTTTGCAAGTAAACTAGTATAAATATACTTATTATGTGAATAATGATTGTAATCTAGAAAATTACTACTTTAAGCAACTCTCCTGTCACTATTTTTAAATCTAAGAATTATTTAATTTAGTTTTTTTTTTTAAAATTAATCTTTCTCTCTTTTACTTTTTCTTTGCACTTAATAAACTCTTATTTCTAATTATTAAAGCTCTTATAGCAATAATCCACTTGCTTTTTACCAAGAAAATTATAAAAAATAATCCACTTGCTTTGGATTAACTCACAAAGTTCAGGGATCAATTAGAAAATATAAAAATCAATTTTTTACTAATTTTCAAAGCCACACTTTAGAAATTTTCATAAATGGGCTAAGAGAGCCCATTAAACAATCGGCTAAATTTTATTAAAGAGCCCATTAAACAATTGGCCCGTTAGTCAAGAAAATCGTCACCACTCACCGGCGTCTTCCGCTCCACCATTTCTCCGTCATCGTCTCTTTCTCTCTCTTTCTCTCTCACACAAAATCTCAGAGAAGAAAAATCGTTGTCAGGTCGGAGAAATGAGTGGTCACGATTCGAAATACTTCTCGACAACGAAGAAGGGAGAGATCCCTGAGCTCAAGGAAGAGCTTAATTCCCAGTATAAGGTTTTTTTTTTTCTTAATCTCACTCTTGTGGATCTGTGATCCGCCATTTTAAAATCCACGATCTCTCGGTCGATGATCTTTTTCTTCCTTGTGATTTAGTTATTCTTATGCAAAATTTTGTTAGATCTGTGTAGTTCTGGATTTTGAATTTTCAATTGGCGATGTTTGTTGCTGGTTTAGTGAAATTGGCTTCGTTATTTCGTTAGAATTGGAGAGGAATTGGTAGGTTTTTGAGATTGGCTAATGTTTGGGTGTGTGTAATCTCGTAGTAACCTTAGGAGAGCTTAGGTTGGTGAATCAGAACTGTTTGATCTTACGAGTTCTCTTTGCTTCTTGTATACTTTTTGTTTCATAGGATAAGAGAAAAGATGCAGTTAAGAAGGTTATTGCGGCGATGACTGTTGGAAAGGATGTTTCATCACTTTTCACTGATGTAGTCAATTGTATGCAAACGGAAAATTTGGAGTTGAAGAAGCTTGTTTACTTGTATCTCATAAATTATGCGAAAAGTCAGCCAGATCTTGCTATTCTTGCAGTAAATACTTTTGTAAAGGTAACACTCAAGCAACTCAAACGAAAAACACGTTGCGAATGCCTCCAGTGATTCATCACAATATTGTTGGTTTGTATTCTGCAGGATTCACAGGATCCAAATCCACTGATTCGAGCTTTGGCTGTCCGGACAATGGGATGCATTCGTGTTGATAAAATCACAGAATATCTATGTGATCCTCTTCAAAAGTGCCTAAAGGTTTGAGTTTCTAATGTTACGTCTTCATTGGAATCTGATATCAAACATATTTATTGCCCTCAAGAATCTGATTCATCTTGACTAGTCTATCTTTTCACTATCCTGTGCATATTTTTGTCTTTAGGATGATGATCCATATGTCCGGAAGACAGCAGCTATTTGTGTTGCTAAGCTTTTTGACATAAATGCTGAATTGGTTGAGGATAGGGGTTTCCTTGAAGCCTTGAAAGATTTGATATCAGACAACAATCCGATGGTTGTTGCCAATGCTGTAGCAGCCCTTGCAGAGATTCAAGAGAATAGTACTAGCCCCATATTTGAGATCAATAGTACAACCCTTACAAAGCTCCTTACCGCTCTAAATGAATGCACTGAGTAAGTGTCCTCTCCTTATCTCCATTTCCATAGTTTCATTGCAGTCTCTTTATTATTGAATATCTATGGCTAGTCATCGTAAGCTTTCCTAGTCTAAGAACGTAAAGAGTATTGACGGAATTAGTGGAACGTTGGTGGGTTATGAAATGGCTTACTAGATTTCCTATGGCCTCAGTTTGTTTATGCTTCGTCTTCCTGTCTATTCTCAAACAGCAGTGTGGGTTTTTTCCGTTATAGAAGGTTTTATCTGTAAATAACGACTCACTGTTTTGAATTTTGGGAAAAAGAGTGGATTAGCTTCTGTTAGCTTCACTTTTGGTACTGACAATGATCATCGCAGGTGGGGTCAAGTTTTTATATTAGACGCTTTATCGAGGTATAAAGCAGCTGATCCCCGTGAAGCTGAAAATATTGTGGAGAGAGTCACACCAAGGTTGCAACATGCCAACTGTGCTGTTGTGCTTTCAGCTGTTAAGGTGAGCAACTTTCACTTGATTATCTTCCTCTCTACTTGTAACTGGTAGCTCGTAAACATGCTTGTAAAATATCAACTACACCTTTACATATATTCTAATGCGTTCCCACGTCTGTTTGTTTTGGTAATTGCCTTACAGATGATCCTTCAACAAATGGAACTTATCACTAGTACAGACGTGATTCGAAATCTTTGCAAGAAGATGGCTCCACCCCTTGTTACATTGCTTTCTGCCGAACCTGAGATACAATATGTTGCACTTCGTAACATTAATCTTATTGTGCAAAAAAGACCCACTATCCTTGCCCATGAAATTAAGGTTAGCATGACCTGTGCCTCATAGATCCTCAGAATAAGCAACCGATGTAACCTTGCATTTATTGATTATGTTGAAAGTGATATTCTTTTTGTTTTAGGTTTTCTTCTGCAAGTATAACGACCCAATTTATGTTAAGATGGAGAAGTTGGAGATTATGATTAAACTTGCCTCAGACAGAAACATAGACCAGGTATCCTCACTGAACTTTACCATCTGCTGTGTGTCTTGATTATTTTTGGTGCATATCTTTTTGATTTTTGAAAAATGCTACTCTAGGTTCTTCTGGAATTCAAAGAGTATGCCACGGAAGTAGACGTTGATTTTGTTAGAAAGGCTGTTCGCGCGATAGGCCGATGTGCTATCAAACTAGAGAGAGCAGCTGAACGGTGCATCAGTGTTTTGCTCGAGTTGATCAAGATCAAAGTAAATTATGTTGTCCAGGAGGCCATCATTGTCATCAAAGATATCTTCAGAAGATATCCAAACACGTAAGTTGACATTTCTCAATCACTGTTGAAATGTCATCTTGAAATCTTCTTTAATTATGGTTATGCTATTCAAATTTTCATACAGGTATGAGTCCATAATTGCAACACTCTGTGAGAGTTTAGACACTTTGGATGAACCAGAAGCTAAGGTATTGAACTTTCTTGCTTTGATTTGAAAAATTGAAATTTACCATCTTCATTCAATATTAAATCACTGAATTCTGTATCTATTGGTAACTTGAAAGGCATCTATGATATGGATCATTGGTGAATATGCTGAAAGAATTGACAATGCGGATGAGCTTCTTGAAAGCTTCCTGGAGAGTTTTCCTGAGGAACCAGCACAGGTCCAGTTGCAGCTTCTAACTGCCACTGTTAAGCTATTCCTGAAGAAGCCAACTGAAGGCCCTCAACAAATGATTCAGGTTCGGCCTTTTCCTTGCTCACCACTGTTTTATGATCGATTCATGTGCATGTATGTGATGACAGGCATGTTTTCCGTTACACCTGATGTTTTCAGGTTGTCTTGAATAACGCTACTGTGGAGACGGATAATCCTGATCTCAGAGATCGTGCATACATATACTGGCGTCTTTTATCTACTGATCCGGAGGTGTGTGTTACCTTGATTTCTTATAGCTTTCTAGTAATTAGCCAGTCGAGAATGAATATATTCAGAATTGGTTATTCAAGCAACAAGCATTTTTCATCAGTTGAGGTTTCTCTTGAGATGTATTTTGCTGACCTCATCATTTCTCTTCATTAGGCCGCTAAGGATGTTGTTTTAGCTGAAAAGCCCGTGATTACTGACGACTCAAACCAGCTAGACCCATCACTTCTTGATGAGCTGCTTACAAATATTTCGACCTTGTCCTCTGTCTACCACAAACCCCCAGAAGCTTTTGTTACCCGCTTGAAAACCACAGTTCAGAAAACAGAAGACGAGGACTTTGCAGAAGGAAGCGAAGCAGGATACTCGTCTAGTAATCCGGTTGATAGTGCAGCTTCCCCTCCAGCCACCACAGGTAATATCCCACAGCCTGGCGGAAGACAACCAGCAGCAGCGGTCCCAGCTCCTGTACCTGATCTGCTAGGTGACCTCATGGGATTGGATAATACCGCTATTGTTCCGGTTGATGAACCCATAACTCCATCTGGGTGAGTTATGTCTTGAAAAATGAAACTTTCTATTGCAGGGACTAGTTTATTATATTAGATCAATTTTGGTTGCCTAGTTCATATTGAAGCTCATCGAATCTTATGAACTCGATCGCAGTCCTCCTTTGCCCGTTGTCGTGCCAGCTTCAAGTGGTCAAGGTCTGCAGATAAGTGCTCAATTATCCCGGAAAGATGGACAAGTATTCTACAATATGCTCTTTGAGAACAACTCACAGACGGTACTTGATGGTTTCATGATTCAGTTCAACAAGAACACATTCGGCCTTGCAGCTGCTGGACCTCTTCAGGTAACTCTACCTAAATCTACTTTTATGTCTGAATTTCCGAATCTTTGAAACCGATATCCGTGTTTGTACTGTTTCAGATTCCGCCTTTGCAACCTGGAACGTCTGCCAGGACAATGCTACCTATGGTCTTGTTCCAGAACATGTCTGCTGGGCCTCCAAGCTCGCTATTACAAGTCGCTGTCAAAAACAATCAGCAGCCTGTTTGGTACTTCACCGATAAGATTATACTTCATGCTCTTTTCGGTGAAGACGGTAGAATGGAACGTGGAACCTTCCTTGAGGTAACCTAGCATTGTACCAAACATCCTTAAAATTAGGGCTGTTCGTATTGGTTCGGGTTTAGGAAAATACTGACGACTGTAAAACGAAATCTGTTAGAGATAGATTTATACGGTTTGGGTATTCATTTGGATATATCTTAATCTTTTCAAAGAATTTAAGTTTAGGTTTGTTTTTTCATCAGACATGGAGGTCGTTACCGGACTCGAATGAAGTCCAGAAAGACTTCCCCGGGATCACCATCACAAGCGTTGAATCGACTATTGATTTGCTCACAGCATTCAACATGTTCTTCATAGCAAAACGCAAGAACGGGAACCAAGACGTGATCTACTTATCAGCAAAAGATCCACGAGATGTTCCGTTTTTGATCGAGCTCACTGCAATGGTGGGCCAACCAGGTCTCAAATGCGCAGTGAAAACTCCCACTCCCGAGATTGCACCTGTCTTCTTCGAAGCTTTGGAGCTTCTCTTCAAGGCTTGATGATTAACATTGTTGTCAAAAGGCTAAAACCAGACCTGCAAGGTTTCAGATTCTTTGTTGTTTCGTTATATCCCGCCTTTTTTTTCTTCGTCTGAGTTTAGTGTATGTAATAAATCCCATGTTTGTGTTACTTCCGATTGCACCTTTTTGTAATGGTCACTATTTTCTTTTAATTCTTGTATTCGAACCACTTTTTTTTTCTTCCCGGGGATTATCTTGTAATCTACCAATAGGGAAGATTAAACCCCATCAAAGGACCAGATCACCATGGAAAATCAGTGATCTAGCTACATTGGATCATTGATGATGCTATTGCTGGACAAGGCCAAAACTTTCAAACATTTCTTCTTAGTGATAGATACACTTCTGGTAGCAATTCTTGATTTTTTTCTCGTACTTAATATTTGGTAATCTGGATTGTGAAAAACAAATCAGAATTGATACTGGAAGTATGTGTTTTGTCATGCGGTGTGCAATTTGGAGTGTCTTTCAGGATATGCTAGCCACAGTTTGCATCAGAGTGAAATTGCTTACGAAGAAGGAAGATAATAGATGTAACAACCTTTTAGCGAGTAAGGCTTTACGACAGAAAACATCATTGTATCCTTATGAAAAGCTTGAATCTCGTCGCCATCTTCAATGGATGCTTCCAACTGTTCTCAGTAACTTCCGCCCGAAATAATCGAAGCCATCTGAATAATGCCGTCGTTACTCAAAGCATAGGTAACCTGAAACACAAAAGCAATCTCTATCTTAAAGCTTCTTCTTTTCTTTATGTGTTCTTGAGCAATCTCGAACTTAAACCTCTTCTTTCTTTACTTTTCAGGTGAAAAAAACGCAAGGAGTTCAATTCTTTGCATGCATGTCTCAAGTAAGACCCTTGAAACTCTTTCAAACCCTTTTTTTGATTTCAGAAATCCTCCCATCTCTTTCATGTTCCAACTTAAAAAAAGGAGATATTTCACCTTCACTTATAAAAGTGAACAGAGATTAGACCATCATTGTACTGAGAAAGCAGTTGCATAAATCATACACAAAATCAAAACAGAGGTAAGACCAGAAGAATTTGACCAGTAAGATGTAATAATAAGTTAATGAAAAAGCTGATACTGATTAGACAAACTGTAACAGTGGAATCTAACTGTGAAAGTGGAAATAGATACTGATTGACACCATATTTGACGTGAAGGAACAAATGCAAAATTCAAAACCTAACCAACATATACATGTAATTAGCTAATGTAAAAACTGGTACATAGTTAACATGTTACAACGGTTGTATCATTGAAATCTAAACGTAAGGAGGAAATTACACCAGCGACTGGTCTCCGTGCAATGAGGACAAGGTCATCGACGTGATTGCTTGAGGGATTCTTTTTTCTTTTCTTTTTTTGTCAACTTGGGATTCTTTTATCTTTATAGAAATCTGTACGTCAGCATACTTGTAGATGGCTATTAAAAAATTGTCAATGGAACGTTCTTAATTATGTCCTGTCTCTTTGTATTTATCAACGGCTCTAGTTATTTAATTGTTATTGGATGACCACCAAGTTTTACATTGACTTTTAATTAGAGAGAGAAGTAGGCTTGAAAGGAGCATAGCTTTGAGATCTCAGATTCAACTTTTTCTTCTTCTCCTTCTTCTTCTGCTCAATCTTGTTGTAGTCTATCATGGAATCTGAGGGAGTGTCACTACCGTTGATCCACAACCATGTTATGACGCCTTGGAATGATCTGCGGGAAGGTGATTGTTGTGGACGTTTCGAAGCTATCAGTGATGGCTATTACTGCGAAATCTGTGACTTCTTTCTTCACAAGAAATGTGGCGAGTCCTCTGAATATCTCGATCACCCATCTCACTCTGTTCACACTCTTCAGCTTCAAATTAAACCAGGCCACGTATGTGATTTATGTGACAGGGACATCGTGAATCTATGCTATAATTGTGAGATCTGTGACTTCGATGTGGATCTATATTGTGCAACGAACCCACCACCAGATTTTATTGACATGTCCGAGACGCATCAGCATAAGCTCACCCTTCTCAAGGACAAGGAGCTGAACCAGTTCAATTGCAACGCTAAATGTGGGGAGCTTGGGTATGGGTTTCCTTACAAATGCCATGAATGTGATTTAAACTTCCATCTGGATTGCGTATGGAATCCGTCGGAGGCAAAACATTCGTCAGAGGTAAACCACTCTTACCACCCCTTACACCCTCTTAAGCTCTACAGAGGACAACCACCAAAATATTCTGATGGAAAATGTCGTCTTTGTGCAAGAAGAATTGGTAGATTGTTTTATCATTGTTCTGCTTGTAACTTCACCTTGGATATGCGTTGTGTTTTAAACCCACCACCACAATCTGTTCTGGATTTGAAAGTTCACGATCACCAACTCATCTTTCGTCCAAGACTTGATTCTTTTACATGTAATTCTTGCGGGTTGACTGGAGATCGAAGCCCTTACATATGTCTTCATTGTGATTTCATGATACATCAAGAGTGTCTTACCCTTCCACGTCTCATAAACATTAATCGGCATGATCACCGTGTTTCTCGCACTTCTGTTCTTGGTGTTGTCAATTCTGTGTGTGGAGTTTGTCGCCAGAAGGTGGATTGGACTTGGGGCGGGTATTCTTGTCACAAGTGTCCACGCTATGTCGTTCATTCAAAATGTGCTACTAGAAAGGATGTATGGAACGGGAAAGAGCTCGAAGGAGTTCCTGAAGAGATAGAAGATATTGAGCCATATGTGGTAATAGATGACAACACAATACAACATTTCAGCCATAAAGAGCATTACCTAAGATTCCACGTTAATGGTCTTCTCTGTGAGGAAAACAAGCGTTGCAGCGCTTGCACCCATCCCATTTGTCTCCAATCTTTCTATGGATGTATCGATTGTGATTTCACTCTTCACCAAAACTGCGCTGAAGCTCCTAAAAAAAAATGGCATGTGCTACACAATGACCGGCTTACTTTGGTTATATACGAGGCTACTTTTGAGTGTGACGCTTGTGATAGAATATCTAATGGTTTCATGTACAAGTGTGGGTTTAAAGACTTAGATGTTCTGTGCGGTTCAGTTTCAGAGCCTTTTGTCCATCCAAGCCACCCCCATCATGCCTTATATTGTATTCCATCAGTGGAAAAAAAGGAATGCAATGGTTGCAAGTGCAACAAGTCGGCATCTCGTGTGCTTACATGCATTGAAAGTGGTTGTGGATTCGTCTTATGCTTCCATTGCGCCACGTTACCACAAGTGGTAAAGCATAGAGTAGACGATCATCCTCTCTCATTATGCTATGGCGAAAAGGCAAGTGGCAAATACTGGTGTGACATTTGTGAGAAAGAAATGGATCCAAGTAAATGGTTCTACACGTGTAAAGATCACCGAGCTAGTTTGCATACAAAGTGCGTGCTGGGAGACCTTGCAGGGCTCATGCCAAGAAGCACAATAAAGGCTGACAGCAGATCATTCGAGGTGGTGCTCAATAATAGTGTATCTCGTCCATTTTGCAGGGTGTGTGAGTCGCATTGCATGTACCCTATCGTCTTGAAGATGCTTGGAATCTCAGATCCATACATTTGCTCTTTAGACTGCGTAAAACATTTTCTTAATACTTTATAAATCTATTTTCAAATAAAGAATATTGACAATCTCTGTAATTTGTTTTGCCACTAAAAATCTGTCTTTCAATAATTCTGTTCATCGAAAAACCCAAAAATGTATTAGTTCTCATTTAATGAAGACGATTTTTCTTTGACTTGTATCTTCTTAACTGTTAACAGTCATCATCACATGTCTAGAGAGAAATAGATTATGGCTTTTTTGTGTTTTTCTTCTTTCTTCTTTTATTAACTTTGAGTAGATACTAACATTGTTCTTCTTGTTGTTGTTGTTATGATACTTTATTCTATTTCTTTCTTTTGTGTTTTTTCACCAGCTTCATTGCTTCTACTCAAAACCTTACTTGCTTATACCAAGTGACGACTCACTGCAACACATAATTTTTTCGGAGAGTAATAAGCTTGGTGAAGTTTACTAGGTATTGTTGTTATTTTCATTGAGTGTGTGAGGTTTGGTTTCTGTGCCAACAGATTCAGATAACGTGATGATAATATTGATGCACTTTTTTGTATTTGTAGGCTACATTTTCAGTGGAGTTGATGTTGCAGTGAAGAGGTTAGCAATATCATCAGGATTAAGTGAAGTCGAGTTCAAGTACGAGGTTACTCTTCTTGAATAGTAGCTTCTATATACCAGATTGTGGACGAGGTACATGACTTGATCACTGATGTGAGTTAAAAGCAATCAAATTTCAAAGTGCCATCTAAAAATTGATTAAGGCTGTAACTAGCTAGAACTTGTAGATCGGACTTTTATGTGTCCAAGAAAAAGAAAATTCGAGTGACTCCACATGGAGGTTTATTCAGTAAAAATAAACAAGTTAAACGTTTTCACGCAGTCTTATAGGATCGTATAGGTTTATATATTCAGTAAAACTAACAAGAGAACAAAAAACTAAAACATGGTTCAATTTGCAAACTCGATATTAAAGTTATGGATTCACGTAACTAGTCCGTACACAAAAATAGATATTTAAGACAAATTGCATAGACATATGTCGACATGAAAAATGAACGTGACAAGGAGTTTATTGAGTAGGATTGGTTCTACTTCTATATTAGCAAAAAGTAAACAAGAATTTACTATAAATACCATATACTAATTTAGTTATATGTTGTGACAAAAGCATTTAATAATAACATATTTTCTCTTTTGAATTGTAAGAAGAACAACATACAATGGCAAAGATTCAAAACTCCGTTTGCTTCACCGCAGTCTTGCTCATCCTCATATTGGTTTCAACCGGTAATTTAGCTGATTAAGTCTTTTATTTCATTCTAATAATCTAAATCTCATCATAATGTTTATATATATAATTTGTTTACCTAATGCTGATAATTGTTTTTGATATAGAGATACCAAAGATTGAGGGGAAAACTTGTAAGCTTTTTAGAGGAGAATGTCCTGTGGATCCGTGTGAACCTGCTAAATGCGACGAATGTTGCAAAGCAGCGTTCGGGAAACAAATTTGTGGAAAATGCGAACAAGAGAGCACCGAATTACATTGTCATTGTCGCCGCTAAGCATCTGTTCTTGATCAGAATAACATGAACTATCCGTGACAAACAAGCCTCTTATGTACTTAATGAGAAATGATGCAAAACTTGTATTACTTTCTTGTTAATCTTCTCTGTGTGTTTTCTTTCTTGGTTTTTCTATTTGGTGTGATGCTTTTGATTCATTTCTTGTGAAATTTCCTTATTTGTTTCATTGTGTGTAAACGTATAAATTCATGTTGTACGCTCCTCACAAATTATGTACGTTCGGTATTATTAATAAAACTTTGTTTGATGTGTTTTTTAAAATAAACTTAAAACAAAATTAATAATATGATCGTAAGAGATAAGTAATAAGTTGATCATGTTTACTAGTAATTACGTAAGTGTTCTTGTACAACTGATTGATTAAAGGTACATTGTTCCTATTTATAAATATGTTTAAAAATAGAATGTCATACTTCGTAAATTAAGTCTTTTCATATATTCTTCTGAATCAAGTATACATGTGGAATCCGAAATAACAAACAAGCACCAAAATTAATTACACTGTCATTTATGCCCGCTACTGATTCGATCTCGATATGAAAACATGAACCATCCATGTAAAACGAGCCATTAGCTAATTACTCGTGAAAGCCAAACCAGAGAACGAGCAAGAGAGTGGTGAAGCAAAAGGAATTAAACGCGATGCTCACAAAATTTTGTTATTAATAATTACTCTTTTTTTCCTTTTAGACCATATAATGTCGTCATAAATGTGTTGCCTGCTTTTCTTATTACGTTTCTTAACATTTAACAACCAGAAATTTTTTAATCATCATGTACTGATTGTAAGATAATCAACTCTAATATTTCCGTTTTTTTCCTTGTTTTGAATGAAAATTTATATACTAAGCACGAATTTTAGACACTTTTAATATGATAATAACGAATAGTCAACTTCATTAGTTTATAAAAATTTATTTTACAGTTGCAACAATTATGTCGACACTATGAGTTAGTTTCATAAAATTCTGATAATTGTATTTTGATATAGAGATACCAAGGACTGAGGGGAAAACATGTAAGCTTTTTAGTGGAGAATGTCCAGTGGATCCATGCGAACCTGCAAAATGCGATGAGTGTTTTTGGGAAACAAATTTGTGGAAAATGCGAACAAGAGAGCACTGAATTACATTGTCATTGTCGCCGGCCGCTAAGCACTTGATCTTGAACTAAATAACATGAACTATACAAACAAGCATCTTATGTACTAAATGAGAGATGATGCGACTTTAATTCATTTCTTGTTAATCTTTAGTTGCGTAATAAGTGTTCTTATACAACCCTAATTGATCAAATGCATATTATAATTGATGCTAAACGATTTATATTTGTTTCATTAATAAGTGATTTAAAATAGTATCATTTATTATGATTGATGCTAAACGATTTATTTTTGTTTCATTAATAACTTATTTAAAATAGTATCATTTAGTTTGGTGATATAATTTAAATGATATTACACACTTTTTCTTTTAGTGTGAGCATGGTTTAGGACCAAGGCGGAAATTGAGAGACTGAAAGCAATAATTCTTTTTTAGTAGGAACATATTGAAATGATGTTTTAGTGTAACTTAATTTGGAAATATTTTAATCGGTTAGACTAATCCACTATAACAATCCATGGACTTTTTAGTCTATTTTTTTTTGTCATCTAAATATACTCTCTCTCATTTCATATTATAGCTAGGATGTTTTAACTATTTTATCTTGTTTCACTATATAAGATGTTTTGGACAAAAAAATTCAAGTTGTTTCTATGTAAAAATTAAAGTTATACAATTTTATAACTATTTATATTCTACAGTAAATTTTTACATTGGCCAAAATCTCTTTAAGTAAATATTAAATTATGATTTTAATATAAAAATATTGAAACAAAAAAGATTAATTAGTTTCTTAAACTTGTACTTTTTACCAAAACATCATATATTTTGAAACAGAGGAAATATTTAAAAAGATGAAATTATACACGTCAGCAGAAAAAAATATCTCTAAAAACTAAACCGATGGAAAAATGTTGAAATCTTTGGAGACAATAACTTTAAGAGAGACAAAACATTTTGGCAAAAATAAAAAAACAAAACGTTAAAACTAATTTTTACCAATTAAATTAATCCTATTCACCGGTTCTTTCCCAAGATAGAAATTGTTTGATGTTGATGGAAACCAAAAAGTTCACCGAAAACTTGTGGTTTTCACATCTTTGCTTGATGATAGGTAACCTTTTGGTTCGATGAGTCTTTCTCTTGAGGTTTTGGAATCTTCTTGCACCGACATTGGTAACATAGAAATAATCAACTAAAATCCGATTGAGAAAAAATAACTAACTAATCAGTCTCGACCAACTCTGGTTTTGAACTCGAGTAGATGAAATTGGAAAATCACCCAACTACTTCACTTACCACTACAGATATAGACGATTGTAAATCGACTAGTGAAAAACTAAGAGAAGACATCAACAAAGGAAGGAATAACAATTTACGATAAAACCTTAGAGATAGAGACCATTGTCAAAGACCTTTGCTTCTAAATTTCTCGAATAGACTGTATTTTATCACTGATTCGTGAAGTCAAAAGATAGCGCATAAAAAAATATCACTGATTCGTGAAATCAAAAGATGGCGCATAAAAAGAAATACATCACTAAAATCTTAAAATAAAACATATCAACCTAAATCCAACCAACAACAATGGACTGTGGAAGCATCCAGTTATCGGTCGAACTACAATGCTCTTCTCAGTTCTCCTTATGTATATATTTCTTTCGTAATGTATTTTACATGACTTATTGTTATTTTCCCATACTACATATAGTAACGTATCCACGATATCATATATATGACTACTTGTCAACGCTAATATATTTATGATTTTCGAGTTCACAAGCACACTAATTTTAGAAAGAAGGAAGGTTTCACAGTAATAAAAATAAACTGTTAAAAAAACTATTTGAAACATAAATGAAGACTAAAATTATCTATTTTTGTAGACTAAATTTCAATAGTTGTTCATTTACGCCAATTTTTTTTACTCTATCATACATGTAATCAGAAACAAATACTTAACGATCTAAAAATAAAACTAAAAAATGGGTAAAGTGTTCGATTATATATATATATATATATAAATAAAGAATTTACAATTAACATCAAAACCATATTTACTAACAAAAGATTGTTTCAAACAACACATATCTATAGATAAATATTAGTAATTTAACATAACGTTCATAGTCAAAGATTTAGACCATCATCTTTATTTTCATTTTCATTTTCATCAGTTCCAACTTGGTTACATTTGTTATGATTAAATAAAACATGAATAACTGATATTCATTAAACTAAATAAATTTATTAAGTATAAAATATTACAAAAATTATTTATTTATTAATTTTTCTAGTGAAATATAAGATTTTGTCGCGCTTCCATGACGAAATTGGAAATTTCTAAAGTATTTCCAAATAATTTTCTTTTTATAGTAAACACTTTATGCAGCTAATATTTTCATTGTATTTTGGTTTAAGAACGCGTACTAATTTTGGAAAAAAGAATATTTTCATATTATTTAAAATGAATGTTAAAAGAAATTATCTAAAACGTAAATAATGTTTTAAAATATCTATTTCTGTAAACTATACTTCAAAAATTCTCCATCTATGCAAAACTTCCTTACTTTATCTTGCATGGAATGGTAGCTGATACGTAGAAGCGATTTAAAAATAAATTTAGTAAGTGGGTAACATATTCAATATATATATCCCATATAAGAACTTATAAGAACTTACAATCAATATCAAAACAATACATATTAAGTAAGAACTTAGTTTAGAAACAACACATATCCCATATATAAATATTAAGTGACATAATTTAAAATAAACATAATATTTCTCAAAGTAAAAGATTTAGACCACCATCTTCATTTGTCATCAATTTCATCTAAGTTACATTTTTGGTCATTAGGTAAAAAAACTTGAATGACTGATACCAAATATATAACTTATATCAAACTAGAGTAAATAGATTCTAACTTATCAAATACCAAATAGATCCTTATTATTTTAAATTATTTATCTATCACGTTCCCGAATCACGAAGCAGACCAAACTCATCTAACAGATTGGAGAAGACGAGCCACTCCTCTAGCGCATGCACCATCAAAACTAGTTCTGTATTATCAGTCTCAAACAACTGACAATCAATCCTTTTTGAAAGGATCATTTTCATGACCCATAAAATAGCTTCTCTTTCTACGTGAAAAGGGGATGAGCTCATTCGGTGACATTTTGCTCTTAGTAGAAGTGTAGAACTATAAGATCATCTCCACGAAAGCACCACCATCCTAAACCTATTGTAGGATCCAAATGTTTCCACGAACCGTCAATCCGACATCTTAAAATTTGAGAATAATTGTTGATTGTTTCTATAATTTCAATTGTTTCGTCCGCAATCAATTGAGCTTCTTCCCATAATAATTGTTAACTCAAAGCGTGATTTATTATATATATTAGTTCAGATTGTAGACCTTGAAACACCTTTTTATTTTTGGTTTTCCATGAGAACCATAAAATCTATGAAAAATAGTAAAATTTTCATCTCACATCTGCATTAACTGGTAATCTCCAATTTAAGAAGTCTAGATTCAAATACACCAAGTTTGAAGGAAAACTTCCTGGTATTGTCGGAATCGGAGACAGTGCCAAAATATGTTGGGAGTGTGGACACTAAAAAAAGCATGATTTATTGTTTCCTCACCGCCTCACCATCTTCATTCTTATTTTCATCAATTCCATGTAGATTACGTTTGTGGTAATTTTGTATAAGAACATGAATGACTGATATTCATTAAACTACGGTAACTAGATTTTAAAGTTATAAAATACCAAATATACTTACTATGTTTTAAATAAAATCCAAGATTCAGTCATGTTTCAAAAATGAAATCGGATACTTATGTAGTGCGTCCAAATTGAGTTTTATTATATATAAAAACATAAATTACAGTGTTTCCACAAATTTTCGATCTTGAAGTATTTTAGAAACGGAGGATGGATTTCGGACCGAGTTTCGATGTTCAAAATACATATATCTTTATTTTTACAACAAAAAGATTCATCCATTTAAGATAAAAACAGACGGTTTTTTTCGAAGAAGAACATGTGAAAAATGGAGCCTCATGCTCGTGCCTTTTTAGGAAGGTAGTCAACACATATATTGTTGTAACGTGGAAAAAAAGACAAAGTCAAAAGAGGGAAAGAGAGTTTAGAAAAGCGAAATCTTTTAACTCCAAAACATAAGTAGACTATTCATCTGAAATGGCTACCAGCTAAGTTAACTTCTTGCAATCTATCTCAAAAGCGACCTTGATTATAAATTGAGAAATGAGAGATCCCATCGTCCATAGAAGAGATTCAAACTCTATATGAAGGAGAAATTCAAATGAGGGACATATATATAGGGGTGTCAAAATATCTTTTTATTTATTGCAAATTATAAGAACTGTTACATATACGATTGTACAACGAACAATTCCTTCTGACCCTTCTTAGATCCACGACAGATGACATTTTCTTCTCCATGCTTTTGATGGGCACCTTCAATGATCCACGACCTGACGACACTTCCCTCCTTGCGTAGAATCCTGGCGAACGGCTATAATTGTACATCGTTAGAGATCTTCTGCACACTTGCTTCAATAATCTGCAAATATGTTAATAAATCGCAGTATCTGGAACTCGAACCCCAGACCTCTTGGTGTAGAGTCATTGATTAACCCTTAGTCAACCAATGGGCTAAGGGGGCTTCTACGTATAGTTCTAGTAACTTCAAACCGTTTTTCAAAACAATGATTTATTTTTATGAAAAATAAGAAAGATTTCATTCCTTATTATCTGTTTTTTGCATTTATGGGATACTTTAAAAGGTTGTAAAAGAGTGATTTTCTTTTATGTTTCAAAGCGTTTTATTGGGAAGTAAAGTTTAAAATTCAATGTTTTATTTGAAGGACAACCAACATTTATCTTAATTTGGTTGGCTGAAGACTAATTCTTATCTTTTACAACCCAAATCCTAGATATTGACCAAAAAAATACCAAAAAAGGGATTTAAACATGAATACATTTTGTAAGAAAGTGCAAAAAATTAAATAATTACAATCCACAATATAAAATTTTCTAAAATACTTCATACCCTATTAAGAATCCCTAGATTAAGAATCTCAATCACCTACCACTCAACCCTCTATATAAACATAAACCTAGAAATGCATTTTTTATATATCTCAGATTTAGTTTTCTCTTTTATCTTATAACCCAATCTTAATATTAACCCCAGATTTGTTACAAACCAAATATAAAAAACAGACAAAGAGTTCTTGGTTAGTGCTTGCATGTCTTTTCCATTTATCTCAAAAAACTTTGTGCCTTTTTGTCAGTAATTTTTGTCACTTCTGTAACAACAATGGCGGAGTTTAAACCCATAATAAGGAGGCTTCTTTAAAAACATATCCTTTTGGCTTCTGCAACAGAAATCTCCAGGTAAAACCATGAATCCAAAATCCAATTGAGTAACAACAAATCCAAAATAGCAGAAATCAAAATCTTAAAAATTCAACCTTTAGGCTAATCCATGTTTGTTTGTTTTGACCCATTTCTTGAAATTAGCTGCAGAAATGTTCAATTCATTGATCTCTTGTGTTTGTTTGGCTTTAGGTTATTGAAAGGAGAGACCTTTATTGATTAGAGAATGATGGAGGGGAAATTGAGGTTAAGGGTTTAATGGTAGGATGGGAAGTTTCAATCATAGTTCATGTTCATTTATTGATGTTGAGATTAAGTATGTTGATGAATGTGAGGAGAGGTTAAAGAGTTTGTTTGATCAAGCTTTGTTGGTTTTTCTTGAGGAAGAGGGTAATAAAAGGCCTCTCCCTGCGGTTCTCGGTGATGGCGAAAAGGTTGATTTGTTTAAGCTGTTTGTGTTGGTGAGGGAGAAGGGAGGGTTTGAATCTGTGTCTAGGAAAGGGTTGTGGGAGGTAGTGGCTGAGAAGTTAGGCTTTGATTGTTCTGTGGCTCCATCTTTGAGGTTGATTTACTCGAAGTATTTGGACCGGATGGAGAAATGGGCGGTGGAGGAATCGAGGATTGTGAATTGGGATAATAAGGATAGTAAAAAGAAAGGGTGTTATGGGGGTTTGTTGCTTGAGTTAGGGGATGGATTTAAGGGTTTGTTGGATAATGGGAAGTGTCAAAAACGTATCAGAGATGTGGCGTTTGGTTGTAAGCATAGGGAAGAGTCGTGCTCAGAGTTTGATAGGTCTAGGAAGAGGTTTAGAGAGAGTGATGATGATGATAAAGGATTAGAAGTGTCTTGTGTTGCTATTAGGGATGAGTCTGTTGTATGTGCTGTGGAAAAAGGCTTGTTGGAATTGTCCTTAGAGAAGAAGCAAGACGATTTACCGGGAATGTTGAAGTGGCTGGCTTCAGTTGCAACATCTCCTCATGATCCTTCCATTGGAGTTATACCGTACAGTTCAAAATGGAAGGAGTGTTGGCTCCAAGTGGCTAGAGCAAAGAACGCTTTACTGGTTCAGAGAAACAATGCTGAACTCAGATATCAAAATTCTCCATTTCTGGTAACAGCTTTAGTTTACTCTTATCGATGAACTCAGATTTTTTTCCTTCTCGTGTTACATTTATATAGCTACTGTTTCTGCTGCTCTATGTATGCTTACTTTTTCTACCTGTGAGATAGTTTAACTCATGGTAAACCTTGGCAGGGTCACCAAAATATGCATCATCCGTCTATGTATGAAGATGATCGAAAGTCGATAGGGAGGTTAAGATACAGAATAAGGCCTCCAAAACTATCCAAACTCTGTTCGAGCTCGTGTTGCAGTGGAAGTAGTTTGGTCTCTCTATATGAATCAGGATCTAACCATTGCAGAGAACTGATGATCACTGAGGGAGCAGACCTTATTGCAGGAACCTCTAGAGCCACAGAGCGAAAGAAACCAGATATCCGAAGAAGGTTAGGACCAAATTTCCAAGCCCAAGTGGATGAATGGACAGAATCTGGTTTAGAGAGCGATACTAAATGGTTAGGAACCCGTATATGGCCATTAGAAAACAGTGAAGCTTTAGATCATACGCTGGGAAATGGTGTGATTGGAAAAGGAAGGCCAGATTCTTGCAGCTGTGTCAACATCCGCCCTGGTTCTGTCGAATGCATTAGATTCCACATTGCCGAGAAGAGAATGGAGCTGAAACGTGAGCTCGGCGATGTCTTTTTACATTGGAGATTCAATCACATGGGAGAAGAAGTGTGTCTCAGATGGACAGAGAGAGAAGAGAAGAAGTTTAAAGACATGATGATCGCGGATCCTAAGTCTTTCTGGAAAAATGCGGCAAGGTGTTTCCGAAGCAAGAAGAGAGAAGAACTTGTGAGTTACTACTTCAATGTGTTCTTGATTAACAAAAGACGTTATCAGAACCGTATGACTCCAAAACGTATAGACAGTGATGATGAAGGATCTTTTGGTTGTGTTGGTGGCAGATTTGGTGCTGCTGCTGTTACTTCGGTTGGTTCAGATATTATGATATGTTCTGAGAATCGTCAGTGTTTTGACTTTGAGTGAAGAAGCAGAAGATTGTAACAAAAAAATGTGTTGTATAAGGTTTAACTCAAAAACTTCTTTGGAAGATAGAAGTATAGGAGTTTGTAGCTTTTTTCTTTGTAAGTTTTAAAATTCAATAACTAGCAAAAGGTGTAACTTTTGGAATCAGATCATTTCTGAGTTTTTCCAAAAAAGTTAAATTTTTTGTAAATTTCGTTATTTATTAAGCTTTCAGAAAGTTATTTTTTTTAGTACATTTCTTTATTTATTACACTCATACTCCGTAATTCCTAAGAGTCATATACATCCGATGAGAAGAAAAAGAGTCAAAGTACATTTTAATTTAATTTCTCTCTTTTTCCAAAATATTCTCCTTCATAATAAACTATTTGTTGCACGAAACTTTGTCTTCTTTCTTTTTTTCCCTTTTGTGTAAAAAATGTCTTTATATCTAAAAGACAAAAAAGAGAGAAACTGAAAAATGTTTAATTAATTAATTAGTAGTAGTATTCTTGTAAGGACGATTTTTCGAAATTACCATTTGAATATACTCTCTTTGTTCTATTATACTGTTGTAATTTTTTTTATTTAATTGGATGTTTATGGCTCTTAATATTCTGCAGTATTTTTTCTTATTGGCTGAATTATTTCTAGTTAGATATAAATGGTGTTTATAGTGCAAAGAAAAAAAGATAAAATAGAATTTATGTAATATATAAACTTTGTGTTTTTCAGTAGAAAATCTTATATAGTGGAAACAGAGGAAGTATTTATTTAGGTGGAAGAATTCACAATCTACGTACCTAAGATTAGATGCTTTAAATTGAGTTTTGAAGAGTCAAACTCAGATAATTAAATGAAACAGTATTAAACACAACGTCTAAACCTAAAATATTCTATTGCAATAGTGTACTTAGTCAATAGAATTAACCCAATACATTAAATATGCATTAACTCACATCGAAAACACAAACAAAAACCCTATAAAATAGACATGATTTATCGAGAAAACACAAAATTGTTTTAAGTTATGGAGATGAAGAACCTTCCCAAAGTTTTGTTTTTCTTGTTCGTTTACTTGACGTGTTCAATGGCAATGGTACCATATCGTGGTTGTGACGTTATTGGAATAGGTTTTGGAGATGGATCGGGCAAGTACGAGAAGAGAGTGTCCAAAGAGGGTTTTTTGTCGGGTCGGAAGTTAGTTTCTGGTCCGAGTCGTAGTTCTTGTGGTCACTAATTGTCGGGAAAGTAAGTTTAGTAATAATAAGAACTTTATTATGTTAGTTCTCTTGTTTATGTTTCTCTGCCTTTAGAGACCTATGAATATTGTAATGAGTTTTAACGATGTGCCTAATGAAATGAATGGCTTGCAAGTTGCAATATGAATTTGTTTTGTTTTGAATGTTTTTGTTTCATGTTTCGTTTGAATCTTTGAGAAACTCAAAGTTAAAGGGTTGCTACTTGCCACTGCCTCTTATAATACTTAATAATTTTTCCTTTTATATGCTATTTCTCTTTTAAAAAATATAAGTAGGGTGCGCAATATGTTTTGTTAACTTTTGATGTAATATTTTACAAATTTGATGTGATATGATAAACAAAATATATTTTTTTTGTAAAATTTAGATGATGTTACTATATGGTTTATATATGGTATATTTTAGAGTTTTATTGATAGTAGGTTTTGACACTAATATCCGCGTCCACGTCTTCAATTCGTTACCCGATTTGCACCCACCTCGAAAAATATTTCGTGGTTTTCAAATCGGGAATAAATATCATAATTTTATTATTTCCATATTCGAATCAGGTATCTGGTATCAATTTATTATAACTACCAATCTTCTTTACTTGCATCATTACCCATATATCACATGATCCATAAAGTACATTACTTGATAAAAAAAATTACAACTATATATTTATATAAAAAATTACAACTATGTATATATTTAAGGTCTAAATATGCATTTCCCCAAATAAGGAGTTTTACTATTTGACACGTATTGCGATCATTGAAAAATACTCGATAACATCTATAAATATTTTTATATATCAGAAAATCTAGGAGACGCCCACATGATGGTGGGTTGGTGGTTTGGCGGGCCCAGGGTGGTTGGGTGCAACTCCCTCCTCTCCTTGGTTCGATTCCTCCCTCCTGCTGTTATCAACATTATTGTGGGAAGTCTGTCAGTTGGGTTTTGGTCCAATTGGTTTACCTGGTAGTCAGAAATGCAGGCGGCCTGACTACCCCTGGAACTTAGTCGGAAGGCATTCCAAACTCGGGATAGGCAGAGTGGTAGCCCGAAGGGCCTAGCCGTTAACACGGTGGACCAGTCCACTATGTAGCATCTCGGTGTGTTCCTACCGGGGCCGACCGGATAGCCGATAGGGTTTATCAAAAAAAAAAAAAAAAAAAAAAATCTAGGAGACTACTTTCATCTGGATTTGGGTCTATCATACAAAAACTATTCCGCAAATAATGTAATCTCAATAGTAATAAACCTTAACCAACAATAGACAAATCTTTAAAAGGATAACTATTTAATTATAAATTTATAATATAAAGACCAATATTGAATTGTTGTCAAATGGCCCGTATAGCTCAGTGGTAGAGCGTCAGTCTTGTAAACTGAAGGTCCGTAGTTCGATCCTGCGTGTGGGCACTTTTTTATTTTTGTATATAAATTACTCTCCAGCCAATGAAGCTATTGCGCAATTCTGGTTTGTCGCAAATGGGCAGTGGCCTAGACTCTAAAGCTTTCCTATGTGGTTAGTGTCCCAAGATGCAGGATCAGTGGGAGGGGCCGAGAGACGCAGGTCACCGCAGTAACAAATAAATGACACAGGCTCTCTCACTTGGAGAGACCTCAAGCTTATAAGCACCCCCCCTTAAGGTGCAATGGAGGTCACTATCTTAGGCCGCACTTCTTCTTGATCAACCATTGACCCAGTCCAGGTAAGTATCTTTCAAAGTCCAACCTTCATCTACTTTTGTAACTCCTATCGAAAGCGAGTCCCGGCCCAAGCTCGCGATGTGGAATAACCAGTGACTCACAAAAATGGCGCGAGCAGAACTATAAAAATGACTAAACTTGATTACAACATCCAACGATTTCAAACCAAATTTAAAAACAGAATTTCATTTCATCTGTAAAACTATATACATGACTGAGCTTGAACCAAGAAAAGAATCAAAAGGTCGATTGATAATGAGAATTTTGTTATTAAACCATATCTCTTTATCTGTAAGACTGTAACTTAGCAAAAGTATCTATGATTCTTCTTCACCGGTTAGGCTCAAGCTAAATTCCCATAGTTTCTTGGCTAAATCTTTGTCTTTACCCTGAGAATTAGGGTTAGATATGTTGTTGTCCATCAAGTATTCCCCACTCACTCCTTTTGCCTGCGGATGTAGCGCAGCATAACATGTAGTTGCCGCTCCCTGGAACAACAGTATCAAAAAACACAGATGCAAACATGTGTGTGTGGGTGAGTTGAGACAGAATGATTAAATGCTTGAGCTTGGTGATGAACTTGGGAGGCAAATCAGATGAAAAAAATGTCAAAAACCTGACCTGTGGAATACTCTTCAACACATACTTTCCCACCGCATTACCAATTGCTGCATCAAACAAGAGAAGTTATTCATGACATTATCGGTTGGTTCTCTGATGCATCTATTGTTGGATCATAATCATTCTTGACAAGCTTACTAGTTACTACGTTACAACATTGCGAAAATGTGTAGATTAAGACAGAGTTAACCTTATACTAGTTAATTACTTATACAGGGTTAAACATCACCTAGGATATGAGTCACAGTCAGGCTCAAACTAAATTTTTTACAAGGCGATGCAAGTTTTAGGATTGTTACTACAATCCGTTGTTTATCCAGTGTCAGTCCAATATGCAGTATTAGATAAACAAAGGAAACTCAGAAATGAAGTACAATGAGAAAACGAATTTTACTATTTATGAAGCTGTGGTAGCGCAAAAGATTGGTCATAATGGATCCAGGATGAAGTGAATTAGCAGTGATATTCACACCTTGTTCCTGTTTTAAGCAAAACAAAGATGAACCAAACTTAACTCCTCTAGCTTTCTCTTTGCCTTTGGAATTGATTAAAATTTTACGAAATCACCCGCGAAATACTATCTTACCTTGAACTGCCTAGCCAGCTCAGTAGCGTGCAATATGTTACAGAGCTTTGACTGACCATATGCTTGCAAAGTATTGTAGCTGTTAAGAAACAGTGAGAGCAATAATCGCATGTTGTTAGTTTGTTACAACTTGAAATTAAAAGTAGTGAACAATACTATTACATAACAATTACCTTGCTTCATCATTTATTTTGTCAAACCGAATACCTGCCCCGTAAGCAAATCGATGACCTTCTGATGAGACAATAACAATTCTTCCTTCTCTATTGCTTTCATTAGCTGTTTTCTTCATTTTCTCCAAAAGAAGGTTCGTCAGCAGAAAATGACCTAAAAATTCGTACAAAACATAAACCTTCTAAGTTTTAACACAGAAAATTGTTCCTTATCATACTTTAAACATCGTTTGGTAACATGTGAAATAGCGGCAACAATCATGTGTTCTTCAAAATTAAACATACCCAAATGATTGGTTGCAAACTGTAATTCAATGTTGTCGCTAGAAAGCGTGAAGGGACATGCCATAATCCCTGCATTATTGCTTCAAAAACAAGAACGGAGATTAAGCCGACTAACACATATTAACATTCACTAATCCAGCAATTACTGAAACAAACTGTAAATTAGGGACTTTACATGAGAAGGTTCAAGGGAAGGTTCAAAGACTTGTATTCTGATGCAAAGCTCCTGACAGAAGCCATTGAGCTAAGATCTAACTTCATTACATCAATCTTAGCCTCGGGTGTTTCCTTAAGTATCTTTTCTCTAACTTGATTACCAGAATCCGTATTCCTTACCGCCATTACAACATGAACACCACGAAGAGCAAGAACACGCGTAGTCTCTTCCCCAATACCACTTGATGCTCCTGAAATCAAATAAAACAGATACATCAAGAATCAGCAAAAAAATCTTCTCTTTTGCTTCAAGATATGTTCTTACAATAAGTCTGATTGAAATATTCCGAAAAAGTTTAAACCTTTCGTCCATTAACAGATACCAACAACAACATGATCAGTTCATGGGCAGTATCAAAACCAAGAAACTAAACTGTCGAAAAAGTATAAATTGAAACAAAACCAGATCATTAAAAGTTGAAACACATCTGCAAGAAGAAGAAGAAGAAGAAGGAGAAGAAGACCTGTGACGATAGCTGTGAGACCAGTACCATCGATTCCATGAGTGACTTCTTCAGCTGTGGAACGAGCTGAGAACCCAGATGCTCCTTTCCACCAAAAAGGCCACATTTTGATGTTGTTTCTTTCTGTCTTCCCTAATCTTTTTTACCAAAATTGAAAAATCTAATCTCAAACATAACCCTAGCTGATGATGATCACACTAAAAAAGTTGCAATTTTAATAAAATATCTCTTTTCCCTCGTGAAGAGAGCTTTTGCCTTTTTCCCATGCTCTGTTCTCAAATCAAGGCAATGAAGAATCTGGATAAATTAATTGCAGTTTCATTTGTTTTGTACCTTAATCCAAAATAAGAATAAAGATGCTTTATTTTATTATTCCTATATTTGATACAGATGTTGTTAAATGTTAAATTTGGTTTGGTATAATGTTCTATACGTTACATTAAACTAATAAAATAAGCATTGACACAAAAATTGCATGGAAAAGAAGCTGATCGATGTCAAAGGTTTTTACAGCAGAAAGTTGGAAATAAATTGGACAAACAAAGAAAGATCCAACCGAAGAAGGAAATAACAACTCTCTCTTGGTGTTGTGTAGAGCAAAAAACGAGTCAAACATGTTTTAAAATCTTTCATAAAACATATAAAAGATGAGCAATCTTCAAAAGAAGAAGAGACAGGTTTGGGCTAAAGAAGAGTGCTATGATGTTGAAAATCCAGAGATATAACCTTTCATTCATTCCCATGGAGATTGAGACCAAAAAAATTATTATTACTCAACGCTGTGTTGGCCTGGGCCTGGAGCTTCCAAATGCAGATCGGCGTTCATCACTGCCTCTAGGACCAGAACCCCAACGGTCTCCTCCTTCAGCTGGAGGAGCTCTGTCCCTGCCACTAGTCCACCGGTCAGTATTCTGAGCCGGTCCTCTACTGTTTCCCCAGTGGTCATCTCCGGGAGGCGGTCCACGGTTGGGCCAGCGGTCAGTTTCTGATGGTGTTGGTGCTGCTGTTGGTGCTGATGAGACCTCAGTAGTCTGGCGCTTCCACTTAGGAACATATTTGGCCGGACCTGATGCTGCTGCTGCTGCTGGTGCTGTAGCAGCAGGGGCGGCAGTTCCAGTAGGAGTAACTGTAGGCTCTGCAAGGCGAGCAGGTGGTGCATTAGTTCCTTTCAATGCAGCTTCTCGTTCCAGCCTTCCTTTCTCCTCCACCTCTCTCTCTCTCTGCCTTTGCTTCTCAGCAATTTCATCCAACTTTGCTTTGCGTTCAGCTTGTTCCTTCTTGAGCCTCTCAGCTTCTACGTTAGGGGAAAACACAAAATATAAACAGAAACAAGAGGTAATATTAGAAAAACTTCAACATCAATGTCAAAATGATGTGGATTTATGAAGGCAAGTCCACACCTTCCCGCTTGCGAGCTTCCTCTTCTTCCTGCAGCTTCCTAATTCTTTCTTCTTCAATTGTCAAATAATATATCTGCTTCCTCTTAATATCCCTTTCTTGCTTCCTGGCTCGAATTATTTGGCTGATACGCTCCTCTCTCTCCGTCATTATTCTGTCAAACTCTGCTTGGCGACGACTAATCACTTGTGCTTGGAATATTTCCTGGACACAGAAAGATTCGATTATATAAGTCGACTGGAAAGAAAAGTTACAGGAAAAAATGAAGAAACTAGAGAGCTTTCAAATTAATTCAATAACGAAAAGAGATACACATCAAGATGAACACTCAGAGAAACAACATAACATGTCAAAAACTGACCTTATTACCCAACATTCTGGACAGCCTGTTTTTCTCCTTCAAGTCACTCTCATGACGCTCTTTACTGAGTTCAACTTCACGCTGCATAGGAGAAGAGCTTTTAAGGACCTCATATACTTCCAAACTAAGAACCAAGTTGTAAGAAAATAAAACTACTGAAACGGTGAGGTTTTACCTGTTGCTCGCGCTCATAAAACTCTCTTTCCTCTACCAGTCTTCGCTGATATGCAGCTTCAATCAATGGAGCAGCCTCTTCTCTCTTTGCTCTTTCCAAATAATCCATAGTTTTGGCAAGTTTTTGGAGTTTCTTCTCCATTTCTTGCCTTTCCTTGAGCTGCTCAGTTAAGACCCTCTCCTTCACAGTTTGCTTTGTCACTTTCTCCTACATTAAGTTTAACCCAACCAATGTTAGTAATACGCAAATCAGTGAACTATAATAGCTAACATATTGTATTAATAAACTTACTCCATCTAAAAACGGCTTCTTCTTTCCCTTTTTCATGCGCTTCTCTGTGTCCTCCAGCAAAGCCTGAGCTTCTTCAAGCTCTTTCTCCTCTATCTCCCTAAGGATTCTTTGTTTCCTTCTCTCTGCAAGCTCTGCTGCAAGTCTCTTCTGTTCTGCCTCCTCAGTTAGCTTCTGTAGCTTAAGCCGTTTCTGCTCCTCTTCACGTTCCTTCAAAAGTAAACATCAAATCAAGGAATAGTCAAAACAGGCACAGCATAAAAGGAGAGGAGTGAAAACAACCATGGAAAAAGTAAACTACCATTTCTAGTTGCTGACGCTCTTGATCCTCCTTCCTCTTTTCAATGATTGATTTACGAGCAAGCAGTCTTTTGTGCTCTTTCTCAACAGTATCCGCTAAATTTGGTATTATGCCAGCTAGTTTTGATGCTTTACTTGGGACAGGATACAGCATAGCTCTTACTTTGCTCAAAGACTCGGCAAAAACAGCCAGATGATCCCTCAGTCCATCAGACTCAATACCCTAATATTCATACAGTTGATCAAATATATTAGTATCTACCAAAGATTCAAAAGGTTATAAGATATATTACTCAACGATAGACATGATATAACCAGTGTTCAGCTGAAGCATCAACAGAGGCTTACCAAATTTCCAAAAATTACAACACCCTTCATGTGATCAACTTTCATGGCAACGAAATTGTTCTTCACAGCATCAACAGATATCTTCTCTACCACTGAGAATTCGAAGAAGGGTACCAACTGAGATAAACTCTCAATTCTTATGGTTTGATAAATCTTAGAAACCTGAAAATATAATCGCAACAGAGAACATTGAGTACGTAGAAAAAACTGGGATAACCACCAGACCAATCCAAAATGGTTGAATGGATATTGCCCCACGACGTAGAGAACAAGGAGCACTCTTTACCTGTTGAAGTAGCCTCAGAGTAGCAAGCTTCTCCAGAGCAGGAACATATTGGGAAAGCTGCGCTTCTGGTAAAGAAGGAGCTGAGGACAGTTTCCCACCAGATTTTGAAATCTTTTCCAGCAAAGGCTGAATCTTGGAGCCAAGATCAAGTGGGTGAAATTCATGCTCCAAAACATGGAAAAGATCTTTGACCTCCTGAGATGCACAGCTCAGAACACCTCTTGAAACCTAATTGCATAGAAACCAGCCTCCAAATCAGAATCCTGTAAGGCGACAAATATTCTAAACCACAGATAAGGTAGCTGCTAGAAACTCACCAGCTCTGACAGAAGAGCTGACCGGGAAAGCTGAAAAGGGAACAAACAGAATTAGAAATAACAAATGAGGAAATGAAGGGCGCAATATAAAATTGAAGCAACATACATAAGAACCTATATTACCATATCTCTGCCCTCAAATTTAGGTTCAAGATTGAATCCAATGAGGTTGGCCATTCTCAAATTGCGTTCTTTCTCATTTTCAAGTTCCATATGGGATGCACTCTGAGCCCGATCAAACGGTGGAACGGACAATGCCGCCAAGACAACAGATGATGAAATCAGCTGCAAATCCTTTTGGCTTAAATTCTTATTGAAATTTTTCTGCAGACTAAATAGCTTAAACCATGCATAAGCATGATAAAGATGGCTAGAAGAAATCCAGAAGATCTCAGTCAATTTGGAATAATAAACCATCAATAAAGATGACTTGGGCGTTTTTTTGACCATGCACATTAGTCCATAGATATCTTCAACAGAGCGAAAAGCTTCCTGCAAATCAAAAAGATACATCAGGAACCATACTAACTTATTTCCAGTAATGAAAGAGAGGACAAGGTATAAGCTACAAAACTAAATTTGATATAAGATAAGGAAGCATCTGAAAAATACACAGAGAAAACAAAAACGCACCTGCCAAAGTCCAAGCTCGGTAGCAACTTTCAGCTGATCAAATCTTGTGTCCAGATACAGTTGCAAGCTCTCAGGGGCTGATAAGTCAGGTCGGTCCCTTTGGTCTCTGTACTTGTTCAAGTTTGCCAAATGATTTCTTATAATTTCACAAAGCCTACGGAACTCTGTTGTTCGCTTGTACTGCTTACAGAACTGGAAGGCTTTATGTGCTGTCATCTACAAGATAATAAAGTACAAGTCTTCAATCTCAATCAACTTAAAATCAGAGGTATCACCAATAAGCTTAACCTCAATGAAAACTAACCGCATAAAGTGCTTCCAACTTTGAGTTGTTTCGCAATATCTCAAGCACTGTCCTGTACGTCTCCCACAAGAACTTGAACCATGGGGTGACCAATTCACGGTCAGACCTATCTTTTCCCTTCTCCCCACTGACAATGCTCAGCTGTAAATCCTCAGGCTTCCTATCAGCTTCAAGGTCATCAACATCAAGAGCCTCCTCAAGGGCATCAGCCTGAGAACGAGCCTGCTCAGCTTTCTCAGTAGCAAGATGTAGGAAGTGCTTGATAACTTCCTCAAGAGAACTGACATTCACTTGCTGACAAACAATACGATACTGAATCAATCCATCCTTAGCGAATCGACCCCTCTTCAAGTCAACACAAAGATCAAGATACTTAAACATGATCTTTTCAAGCGGTTTCTGCCAAGCTCTGTATCTCTTGGAAGTAATGAGGTCATGAAGCGCCTGAAGAGCATCTTGTTTCTGTCCAACATTGATCAATTCTACACAAAAAAATGTAACACAATCTCAATTCATACACACCCTAAACCAAACCCATGTGACCAAATGACAATTAATACTAAAACATTTCATAACTTACCATCAGCACGCTTCAACGCGTTCTCTGGTTTGGCAAAATTCGCCATGTTTCAGACGAAAAAGCTAGTAAAAACGCTAACGCAAGGGACACTCTCAATTAGCCTGAAAACACACAAAGAATCGATTTTGTTACAGAGATCACCAGAATCCAGAAAAACCCATCAGATATCTCAGTATACAACGGAAGCTACATAGACCAGAAAAACTTGCCCAAACCCTAAATTCATCACATAGAATCAAAATAACACAGAAAGATTCGATAACCTGACGCAAATCCTAACCTAGATCAATTCGATGAGATTCGATTAAAAACAGTAGAGATCCAATCACTGGTGTGAGAACAGAGCCGAGACTTAGGACTAACCTTGTAGCCGTGATAAGAGAAGAAGAGAAGACGAAGCGGAAGCAACTCTAGGGTTTCTAGTATTAATATATATTATCGTTCTAAATATATATTACCGAGATTTGCAGATAGCACCGTAGTTTCTTACAGTTTCGAAATGACCCCGTTTTTATATTTTTAGTGTCTATTAAACCCGTTTTTGTCAATACTAGGGATGTTATTCCATTTTTATCACATGAGGCGTTAATTCAATTGAGATCAACAAATTTATGGATTTGAATCTCAAATAATCATTTAAAATATACTCTTTTATTGTTTTCGTTTTACAATATGTTTTAACGACAAATTTATGATTATTATATTTTACCTCTTATCTTTGTTTGATTCTAATTTTGTAAAAAAAAAAACTCGATTATTTCTGCATATGCTATAATTCAAAATTTTAAAAACAAACATAAATATTCAACCTTTTAAAAATGTAGTGTGTCAAAATTCTCACATATATGTGGCAGTCCAAAACAAATTTAAAAAAAAAAAAAATAGTAAAAAAACTAGATTATTTTAGCATATGGCATGAACCCAAACTGATTTGATTTTCTAGAATGCATACAGTACAATGTAATAAAAATATTAGTGGAATTAAATTTTTGGAAAATAATAATTTATTCTATTTTTTCGCAATTGTAAAAAGTAAAGAAAAAAAAAGGTTCAAGAGGTAAAAACGAAAAAGTAAAACCCTTTGAGAAGAAGAAGAACAAGCAGCGCATAATCCCCATCTTATTTTCTTTCAGAACAAAACTTTTCCCAGATTTTCCCGAGAAAATGAGCAATTTGGGATCTCGATCTTCTACCGAAGAAGAGCGTCTCAGTTTCTCAAGGTATTAGTTAATTTGAGCTACAGATTTTTGGATTATGGATGATATAGCTTCGAGAAATTTTCGAATTTTTTTCTCACATGAGGCGTTGTTTTGGAACAGATCTTTGTTGCAGCTAGGGCATTGGGTTACTGGGTTTTCTTCCAATTGTGGGTACAATTGAATTTGGCCGATTCAAAAAATCAGAACTTGGTTTACTTAGCAATGAACAAGTGTTGCAAAAATGCTTACCTGGTTCTGATTTGAAAACGTATTGGCTTGGATTAGTTGACCAAAGGTTTTAAATTCGATTTTGTGCATATTGTGTAAGATAAGCAAATGGCTTCTTCTGCTAAAGGACCTGGCAAGAAGGGTCGTCAGCCTTCGATTAAACATAGTTGCAATTTAGCTGAGGTTAAGAGGAAGTTGTCAAAGATCAGTGATCATCATTCACATGTAGAGTATGCTTATGTTTTCCAGAGGGAGAATGGGAAACGGGGAGGGACTAAGTTGAGTCAAATCCTGAGCAGGGATGCGTTGATATCTGCGGTTGATTTGATTTGGGATCGCTCGGATTTTGTTTCTGGTGATTTGATTAGCTCACTGAAAGAAGGGAATTTAGATTATGTAAATAGGGATGATGGTAGTAAGTTTAAAGTTTTGGTGGATAGTACACGGTTGCCTGCTGATCAGAAGGATAAGTCTCAACTACCATCGAGTCTACAGCCGAGGGTTAGATTATTGGGAGTGGCTGAAAAGATGTACAGTTTCGATCCGTATAACCAAAGAAGTTGGTTTAATCAGAGTGATGGAGTCAATTCTATAAGTGGTTTTTGCAAAGAGAATGGTATTCTGTTCGAGTCTAGATGGAAGACATTGTATAGCTGGATGGAAGGAGTCGTTCCCACTTCTACTAGATATCGTAAAGAAGGGGCTGAGATTGAAAAGAGAGAACATTTTGAAGAGCGTATTCCTAATCCGTTGAGCAGTAAAGCAGAACTCGCATCAAGAAATGCCAATAGTTGTGATTGTGTCTTTGATACAACTGGTGCCAAGGGCCAATCAACTGTAACTGAACCAAGGAGTCCTTTATTAGCAAGCGTCGCAGGCTCATTGGTAGACACCAGAATTTCTAGATCTAATGATGTGAATGATCTCTCTTTGCTTTGCAAAGATAGGTGTGCCAATAATAAAGGAGTGAACATAATAAGTTCAAAATGTAGCACGGATTGCGTTACAGAGGTTTCTTCTTCAGGGAATAACTCAGACGAAGACAGCTTCTCTATTGTTGAAAATAAACGGTTGCTTGAGAGAGATAGAAATGGCCAAGAGACTGAAGTTTGTTCGTCCTCGGTAGAAACGCCTACTTACGCCTTTGTTGCCAAACAGCGACATGCTTTTGCTGGTGCGTTGGCAGGTATAAGCGTCAGTCTTTGTCTTCATCCACTTGATACCGTTAAGACAATGATTCAGTCATGCCGCTTGGGAGAGAAGTCTCTATGCAATACTGGGAGATCAATTATATCAGAAAGAGGTAGAATTTTTTAAAAGGGAGCTTTCTGTATTTGTTTGTCACTGCGCCACGTTTCTTAACACAATTATGTCCCAATATGTATTCAGGTTTTTCTGGACTTTATCGGGGGATTGCTAGTAACATTGCCTCATCAGCTCCTATCTCTGCCCTCTATACGTTCACGTATGAAACCGTTAAAGGAACTCTGCTTCCTCTTTTTCCTAAGGTCTCTTTTTTCTCGCATGTTTCTCCATGGCCTGTTTAGCAGAATAAGTAAGGTCATATTACTAATTTCTTGAAATTTCAGGAGTATTGCTCCCTTACCCACTGCTTAGCTGGTGGTTCTGCAAGCATTGCAACTTCTTTTATCTTCACGCCAAGTGAGCGCATAAAACAGCAGATGCAAGTCAGTTCACATTATCGTAATTGCTGGTAAACATATGCAAACTTAATCTAACTTTTGCTAACTGCGTTATATAGCTTCCATGTTCTCTTGTCTGGTAAAGGTTTCCTGGCTTAACAAAAGTAGTTCGCACTGAGATTTGTTTCCCATTACCCTTTCTTTAATTTCATCTTGTGCTTTCAATATGTTTTTATGATATTTTCATCACGTATGAATACAGGACCGCATTAGTTGGAATCATCCAAAAGGGTGGTCTGCTTTCTTTATATGCTGGATGGACTGCAGTGCTATGTAGAAATATCCCACACTCAATCATTAAGGTTTGTTTTGCGCACACTAGAATGTGTTCCTAATATGCTCTAACTAGGGCTAGTATTTTGATCTTTAAGTCCACACTCTTCTGTTATTTTTTTTTCTCTGCTTGAATTCAATTCTGATGCCAAATTTATTGGAAATACAGTTCTATGTCTATGAAAACATGAAGCAGATGGTATTACCATCTATAGGTCCTTGTGGTGAACCGGCTCAACCCACGACATTACAAACGGTGTGTCTCTTCTCTGCTTCATCCCATAACAATCTGCACTTTAAGATTCTCTTAGCAATCTGTAGTGTATTTTTTTTTTCTTTTTGAATATGAAGAATCTGAGATTACTTGGATGATATTTCGATATTTGCTCCTAACAGCTCACCTGTGGAGGACTAGCCGGATCTGCTGCTGCTTTCTTCACTACCCCATTTGATGTAGTAAAAACAAGGTTACAAACTCAGGTTTGTTTCTCGTTCCAATTATTTTTTTCAGGAACCGCGTTAACAGTTGGTGCCAACATCTAACTTTACCCATGCCTGCAGATTCCTGGATCTAGGAACCAACATCCTAGTGTCTATCAAACTCTTCAATCAATACGCAAGCAAGAAGGTTTGAGGGGGCTATACAGGTCTCTGCTCGCTTTGACTGATCTTATCTCCCTAGTACTGGCTATTGCAATTGTAACATCTATGATTCATCAATTTACCGGCATAGTCTTCTCTTCTTGTATGTTGCAGAGGCTTGATCCCCAGACTTGTGATGTACATGTCGCAAGGAGCTATATTCTTTGCTTCATATGAATTTTACAAGAGTGTACTCTCTCTAGAAGCGACGCAACCCAATTCGTCAGCTCTCTCTGGAACAAAACAAAAGATGGAGATAGCCCTAAACCGTTAAAGGACAAGGATAGTTCACCCCCAATGAAACCACCAAGACTGCAACATATGTAATACAAAGAGAGGAAAATTATACATTGTTTTCGTTTTTGTAACTATTGATTTGATTAAATTCATTTGTGCATAGTCCTTTTTGACTGGAGAGAGAAGAAGAAGATCCATTATTCACTACAAGTTACAAAACTTTTTTTTGAAGGATCTACCAACTCTACGCTTATAAGACCTCTAACCAAATTGGGCATCCCATTTGCTACCTTACAATATGAACAGTGTGGCTTTTTCTTTTGCCTAGATCCTACTCAGAAGAATAAATAAATGATACAACAATGAATGTGACGCCTTTCTCAGTCTGAAAATCAAAGACCATCCCATCTTTAAGCTCTAACTTGTCCCGCGAATCTGCTGCTTCATGGTTGCGCTTTGTCGGAGAAGTTGAAGACCAACCTTCTCTTCTCTTCTTATCGCCAACTCACGACACAAAGAAGAATTCAAATGTACCTGCAACAATGACAGCACACAGACTACACTCGGGAGATTGGCGAGAAAGGAGGATTTGGCATGTAGGATTGAAGACCGGTCACAGCTTCTTTCAGAGGCTTAGGGACTATCTTTTCTTCTTCCTCTGTTACTGCTTCAACTAAGAACTGAATATCATCATCAATCAGCATTTTCAACGAGTTGCAATTCGACAACTGTTGTACATTCTCGCCATTTCTGAAACTATCCGAGACTTCCGTGTTATGTAATATGGCAACACATATGGAGAATGCTTGCAATGTTGATAACTGCGCATGGAAATGAACATCGTATTGCCCTTCCTCAACAAATGACATGTACAATGCTGGTATATGCTCTTTAGCACCCTATAATATGAAGATAGAGATGTGTTAAATGTGAAACAGAAGAAGAGCTCCTTTATAGTCTTTAATAATTTCTCATGAAAGTTAAGCAGTTCCAAGACAACAAGGCTTGTGTTTGATTGAGAAAAGATCCAATTTTACCTGGACAAATAGTTGCAAAGGATGCTGATTGTCCACAAGAGGCTGATCATGAGAACATGAGATACGAGGATTACCAATAACCATAAGTGGACAAGCCATGTCCCAACCACCACAGTCACAACCGCCTCCTGACCTCCATCGCTGAATCAAAGGCGAAGGACAAGAGTTTTCGGTAGTTGGTAACCCGTGGTTTCCCCTTGGGATTACAACCTTCAGTTTTTCTGAACTTCTGCTGCCAAACAACTCCTTTTTCTCCTCCTCAATTGGAGAAAGACCAAGAAGATTAGTTTTCTCCATCAACCTTTTGTCACCTCTTCTATATTTTAAGCTTTCTCTCTTCTCAATAGTGTCTTGAATAATTATAGCCGCGATCTCAAGGTCAGGATGCAAATCTGTAGCTGACCACGGGTTTGTTCCATTTGAAGCCTCAAGATCATAGCTTTGAGATGTACGTTTCGGCTGACATCTCTGCTTCAGTGTATCAGAAGCATCCCCAGACATTGAGTTATTTCTTATCTCTGAGTCTGGTTTAGCAGAGTTCTTGGAGGTATTATTAACCATATCAAGTGGTAGTGATTGATCTTCCTTTGTGGAGACACTTCGTCTTGCTTGTGCAATATCATACAAAACAAACTCATTTACCATCAAAGTTTCTGGATCTTGTCCCTTTTTTCTTACTTCAGTGCACATTTTACAAGAAACTTGCATCTGAGCCACCAGCAAAGATTCTTTATTAACATCGTTAAAACCCCGAACACTAGCACTGCTCCTCTTTCTGCTTCCAGCAGATGAAAATGTATATACCCAAGTAGAACCATTGTCAGATTTCCATGTCTTTGCCGCGTAAACTTCCTCAGGAGAATCTGACACAAACTGAAAAACCGGCAATCCATTCTTGCTTTCCATCTTGAGACGGCAATGTAGATGGACCGGGGAAGATTTCAGTACCGAAGTATAATCCTTAATGACAACTGGAGGAGGGCAAAGATTTGATCTTTTATGAATATTTGAGTAGTCACTCAACATAGATTTGCAACGCTCACTGTTCCTCCCCGGCTTTTCTGTACATCCAAACTTGAACTGATCACCTGATTCTCCTATATAACCAAGAGGACTTCTCAGAGATTTCGACTTAACAAATGGATCAAACATTTTCCTAACTCTTGAGCTGTCCTTATTGCAACTGGTTTCTAATGAGTCTACCTTTGCAGAATGTGGCTTAGGCAATCTAATTTTACGGTCATTATATTCATTCGAGGGACCGGCTACATCATCACCTGAATCCAACACCGCCGCTCTATCTTTAATACCTGACTTCAAACAAATGTCAATAAAGTTGCTAGAGGTGCAAGGTTCAACTGATGACTTCTGTCCATCTAAAACCATCTTATGCGCTCTTTTCTCTGTACTTCCCTTCCTCGAAGAATCAACAACTCTAAAGGAAAAAGAAGCATCACTACTACGAGACAACTCAAGTTTCGCCTTTGTATCTTTACGCCCCTGCGGTTCCCTAAGTTCTTTAAACAACTCATTAGAGCTTTGATACACAGAACCGCGCCTTAGCTCCGTTGTATCCCCCATTGCAAGAGGTTTAGAAGGAAAATTCTTACACGATGTGCTACGGTAACGCCTGAAGCTTATCTCGGTAAACCCTTCTTTGACTCTCAATATCTCATCTCTACGAGGCGGCTTCAGTCTTGTACTAGTCCTCTTTTCTGATTCAGTGAATGGACGAGGAGGAGGAAGAACACTATTGGGGCTTTGTTCCATATCAATTCCTTTACCAAATTCCATTTCCACTCCAATCACCACTTTAAAACATCTGTAAAACATTACAATTCAAGAAAACAGTTTAGTCTTCCTAAATCAAGACACTTTCAAGAAAACATATAGTCATCAAAACATAAAAACCTTCAACACAAATCTAAAACCAATCTCAAAATTTACTAAACAACTTCTTCTACATAATAGTAACAGATTAGAGTCTTAAACAATGATTAGTAGATCCAATGAATTCAATGTCATAAAACTTCAAAAGAGTTCAAATTAAGCTCCCAAAACACAAACTACACATGCAAAAGTAATGATCTTTGAATCATACACAATGTAGATCTCATATAAGGTTGATAGAGCAATTAAAAACATCAAACAAAACACAACTAACGAGAAGATTGAAATGAAACAATAAAACCCCAATTAGTAGTAAAAGAGTGTATCAAAACGAACCTAGAAAATCAGAAAGAACCCAAAATAGCAGTCAAAGAAGAACACCAAAACAAAAGAATCAGATAGCATTAAGCAAAGAAGCAAAACGAGGCAATTTTTCTTTTTTTAAAAAGATTTAGAGATAAAAAAAAAAGAGATCTAAGAGATACAGATAGAGACATAAGAGAAAAAAACAAAAACATACCCGAGTTACAGAGAGAAACAGAGTGTGTAAATCTCAAACATTTCTTCATCGACATGGAGAAGAAGAACAAGAAAGAGTGGTAATAAGAGAAACCGATCATGTTCTTTGTAATGTAAACAAAAAGATAGAGAAGAAAAAAAAGCAATCAATTAGTTTTCTCCCTCAAGGCATCATTTTGTTTCTTTATTTCCCTCTTCGAGTGTGCAAAAATCTCTCTCGCAGTCTCTATCTCTCACACTGTACTTTAGCTTTAGCTTTTTTGTTGTCTGTTTCTTTTTCACTTGTTCTATCAAACAAAGGTTTTGTTCACTTCAATGAAGTGTTGTGACCTAAGACAATCTTACCCTTTGTCAGACTTTGTCGCTAAAATATATAAAAAGGGTAGTTTCGTCATTTTAATTGAATCTGGTGAGAGACTGATTAATTAAATTTTTTTGGATCGGTTCGTGAACCAAAAAAGAAAAAAATTAATAAAGTATTATTTACTTGTTTCTCGGGAAGTTCATGTGGGATTCCTATCCCCAATTAAAATCTTTCGACTCTATGTTAAATTTATTTTATTTTATTTTCAAAAAAAGTTTATACTAAACTTAGATTTGTAAGAAAATGTTAAATATAAATTCTAGTGGCTAGCTCCTATCCATAATGGGCCGCATCGTAATTGGGAAGACCCACTTTTGACCAAACTTTCAACTTTAAAACATTTTGGTCCAAATTGGTAAAAGACAAAAATAATTTTATAGGGATTTGGAATTGAATGACTCGTATAAATTAACTTGGTGAGTATCCATTATTTAGGAGAAGAAAGTTTAAAGTTTGCGTTTGTGTATGTTTACCGATTTGATTATGAACGGTGAAATCTAGACTCATTTTGACAGCATGTAAAAAAACTATATATATAAAAAAAAAAGTTATGGGTTTTTGTTATGCGCATCCAAATAGAATTATTTGGAAATATTAAATTGAATTAATAATTATTTGTGAATTAAATCACTGTAAATTAAGTCCCTTAAGTCATCATAAAAAACGGGAGACAGTGAGTCTCCCGCTCACTTACCAAAAAAAAGTCATCATAATGGTTATATACTATTTTCTTCTATATTTCTTTATTTATTGATTAAAATAGAAACACTGCTTTAACTAGTTGAACTGTGATCTAAAGATGCATCTAGTTCGTTCTGGTTCAATTTTCAAATTGAACAGAAGATTCACGAAGGTAGATCAAGCTAGAGCTTTTTCGAACCGAAGATTCATATTGGGTGTGTCTATTGATTTGGGTGACGATGTTCGTTTGTACATTTAGATAATGCATCCAGATAGTCCATCCAGTTCATCTATTCATATACATCACTTGGATGATGTTCGTTTCTGAAATTGATAATGCATCTATCTGTATGCAAAAGTTTTCATTTGCTTAGTTTTTAACAGTTTGTATTTGCTTATGGATGCATGTTTTACCAAAATGACTAAAAAACATGTTTTCATTTTAATGATATTTTTATGATTTAAATTATATTTATAACTAAATCATTTTCAAAACATTTTTTTACATTTATAAATTTATATTTTCATGAAATAAATAAATTTATATGGTTTGAAAAATAATAAAGTAACCTATCTCTTTTTTTTTCATTGACTAGCTCCATTTACTCAATTGATTTCAATAAATTGCTAATTAGCTAATTTATGAATTCAAACTTACTTCTAAACTAGATTTTCACCCGCGGTACACCGCGGAGCCATAAATTTTTTAAAAAATCGGGACATTTTGATTTTATTCATAATATGACTTTGAATCATTATCTAAACATTTTAGCCAATGTAAGACGCTAAACACATATTTTTATTAATTGAATAATATATGTCTATTTTAAAATTTTGAAAATTACAATATATGCATGAAAAAATTGAGATTTGTAGATGAGTGTGTATGATACAATAAAAAATGTTGCATTTTTGAATATTCAGCATTTATTCGAATGTTTGAAATTTTAAAATAGAAAACGAAAAGAAGGTGTGTGGGTTTTTTAAATTAGGATATTCCATCATTATAATGTAATTCATATTACCAAATCTGTATTAAAAATCATTATCTTACTCAAATATTTTGTTGAGGGATTTCAAATTTATGGATATTAAGAACTATGCTTTTAATGTTCTTCCTAAGAATTCTGATAATGGATATAACTAATTAAGATTATTTTAATAGATACGAAAATATAGAAGATCGGACTTAGAATTCCAGGTCAATTTTGTTAATTTTGCATTGATCCGTTTTTTATTTGTAATTATATTTTAATAGTATAGAGGCTTTCTATTTATTGTTTTCAAAAAATATTCTAAAAAAATTATAGATTTAAATAGTTATTTTGTTTCGATAATCAATATTTACTTTCAGGTTTAGGAACATGATCCAAATATTCCATTAGTATATCAAAGTATTATATATAGTGTATATACTCATAATATTTTGAATTTAAATTAGGTAAGTTTTTAGTCATTCTAAAATATAGAAAACATGAAGATCTGAATATTTTTGAAGATTTGAATATATACAATTTCGTTTTTTACATCTTGGATTTAACTATTTGAATACAATTTCGTTTTTTACATCTTGGATTTAACTATATGAATATAGAAAGTTTAATTTCATATATAAAAGAATTTGCTTTTAATTTCGTATTATTTTGATATAATATACTTGACCAAAAGAAAAACTAAATATATACCGGAATTTAGTTAAAAAAAAAACACTTTATATTACTTTGCAGTCGTTGAAATCGTTTACATGCGGGAGTTTTATCATTTTCATTTTGAAAAGTTACTTATGTGCAAGAAAAAAGCTATAACCTTTATAAATGAAAATTCAGTACATTTGCTCTATGATAAACATCTCATAAAAAATAAATAAATGGGTATATTAACAATATTTTATTTCAACACCACCATCTATTTTTTTCTCTGTTGTGTTCTCCGGTTAGGTTTTTTTTTAAAATAACTCTACACTCCCCGATAGTTTTTTTTCATATAGCTATAAAATCGAAGAAGTAAAAAATGAAATTGTATATATGTAAACTTAACAGTAAGAAACGTTTGGAATTTTTTTAGTAGAGAGATCGTTTAACTGTGGTGGCCTTGCAAGTTAATTTACTCTAAATATGTATAGTGTGGGAAAAACATTGTTTGGAAGTCTTTAATTTATGAAAAGATAAAAATTGAGACCATTTAATTTATATTTAAATATAGAAAATTTGAAAATGTTAATTTCCTGCAATCTCTCGTTGAGATTTGGTTATTCTTTATTGGTAACAATAGTTAGAATGTGATTTGATTGTAGAATATTCATAATACTTAATATTGTTTTTCTAATTCAAAAATAAATATCGGCAATTTGGTTGTTACAATTTTTAGAAACAATTAAAAATACTGGCGATAACTAACAATTCGAGAATCTAAAAAATCTTTCCAAAAAAAAATTTCAAGGTGATTAAGACAAAATTAATTAATCAATTAATGTATTAACATTTAAAGCAATGGCATTCATCCGTAAATATTTTCAGACTCTAGGATTTATTTCATATTTGTGCTTCGAAAATGTATATATAAACAAATTTATCATTCAAAAACTTTAGTAAATTTTTTTGTTCCTAAATCCATTTCTCTTGGATATAAATTCAATTATTCAACATCCAAAAAAATTAATTTTAGAAATTTTAATGTGTAGTGAAAAAAGAAAAAAAAAATATTAATGTGTTGACGAGGTTAGGTTTTTCTTAATTAAGAGTGATTTCGTTTCATGATATTTTTGAATTGTGATCCTCGAGATACGCGACTTCTCTTGTTGTCTCCGGTGATCATGGACTCTCAGTCTATCTCCGTTGCCGATCGCTTGTTCATAGGTCCCAATCCGCTCAAAAGCTTTGAAAGGTCTCGTTTCAAATTGATCAGATTCCTCTTTTTGTTTCTTAATAGTTAAATTGTTCAGATAGTGGAATTATATTTGCCCATCACCTGCAATTCCGTGGACTAACTTCATTCATTGATCACTTAGAAGTAGAAACATGAAACTTTCTTGAAAGATTAGTTACTGTTTCATATTTGGCTAAGCTTGAAGTTTTTGGGTTGTTTGGAGGTAATGCATATCTTTCTAGTTAGAGCGAGTATGTGTTTGGACCCAAACACTTTTGGTAACACGGAAATCTTGCAAAAAATTCATGGTTTTCTAGCTATAGAGATCTTTAGCATTGTGCCAAAACAACTCAAGAAAATGTAGTCCTTAGATTAGTCACAGTGATCACCCGTTTTAGTGAATTGCTTCTTCAAGTACTCAGAGAGTCGCTTTGATATAGATAAGGCTATTCGTGATTCTCCAAAAAGCTATTAATGGTCCTGCAACATGTTCATATTCTTCTTGTTATGGCCTGAAGAAATTGAGAATCATAGTAACTTGTTAGAAAGGACTCTCAGTGGTCCAACTTGTTCATCGTTTCTTTCTTACAAGTTGCCATTGTTTTTTTCTTCATATAATAGACAAATGTTTCCAACTTGCTCTTATGAAAGTCATATTTGTGTAATTATTCAGCTTGTTGTTCAGATAGGAAAGAATCTCTTCCTGTTGAAAAATGGGTTGAAATAATATCTTCTCATTGATCTTCTGGCTTGTCTCTGTTGTTGTCTCTGCGCAGTTATGCTTGGACAAGTTTGGAACTTTTAGACCAGATGGTATACTTTAGACAGGAACGGTCAACTTATTCTCTCATCTCTTGCATCTGATGTCACAGCTAAAAATGGCTTCTACAACACTTCGATTAGGACTGATCCTGAACAAGTCTACGCGATGGGGTTGTGAATCCCAGGTGCTAAACAAAAGCTTTGTTGGGATTGTATCAAGGTCCAAGGATGCATCAGACCAGTTAATACAGAGATGTGCCAACCAGAGAGCAGCATTTCACACTGGTCAGGTAGAGGTAAAACTCTATATAAGGCAAGCTACTATAACCCGCTGTCTTTTAGACCAGTGGATTTGGATTCAGTTTCTGTTTGTTTTATAGTTGGAGATGTCAGCACATAT